TAGAAAATAGAGAAAATCAAATCTCCTGTTTGTTAAAATGTTCTCCAGTGTCCACATCTTGGGACAAAGCAGGAGCAGCCATGAATCATTGCGATGGAAAAACAGGAAGCAATTTTTCCCCTGTACTACTTTAAATGCTAAACTTCTCATTTTTGTAATTAACACATGCACACACACACAGTGTATAGCTTTGGGTGGGAACACGGATGCAATGCCAAATGTTGTTTTTGGCACAGAGCTGTGCCTACAAGTGAGAAACTGAGTCGTTTGATGGTGTAAGGATCTTGGCAGAAGGCGTCCCCCCCCCCTTTTCAATTAAGTGAAGTCACCCTCTTGAGTTATTGGTCCCCTCGCTCTTTTGTCCTGTGGTTATTTATATTCTTATTTAGTTTTGTTTAGCGTGGAGCAAAATACAAAGACTGTATCGCACTGCAAGCAAACTGATGTTTAACATACCTGGTCCTTGTTTCAGTTTGTATGTGATTTATTTGCATATGCTTCACACAGCTCATGTTACAAGCTTTATTTCAGGCTCGTTGGAATGTCCTTGTTGTTCTTGTTAATCGTGGTTGTTGTGTGTACGTGCACCAGACTTCAATGTAGTGTTACACTAGGAGTAGGCAGTCTTGGAGTTTGCAAGTACTTTGTGTTGTAATTGGTTAGGTGCACTCAAAGGGTTAAACAAACCCCCCTTTTGGAATCTAGTGGATGATTTTTGATTTTTAGAAAACGCAAAATGTGGAATCAACTTCTGTCTTCCAGCCTCCCTCACTGAATCAGTGTAGTAAAATCAAAGTAGATGTTGCTGTGTACAAGTCACTGCCCCTCCCCTCCCCCATTGTATCCCCATTCTGATTTCATGCAGGAACTACCACTTTAAAGTTCGCTCTGTGCAACAGTGAAAACTGAATGTCAGTTTAAGTAGTAGAAACAAACAAACCCTTGAACAGAAGAGCTTTTAGAAACCAGCTCCTTAATAAACTAATAAACTTTTTTTTTCTGTAGTCGGAATATTTCTTGTTTTTTCCCCCCTTTGACAGAAATGGCAACACTAGTATCAGACCTCGGCCAGTGAACGGCAGTTTTCGCAACTCTTAGCCTTGTTTTTTCTTTTTGTGAACGATTCCTGCAATCCATTTTCAAAAATGCAAATGAGCATTTGCCGCGGCTGCTTTCGGCCGACACACCCGAGAAAGACTTGTGGGAAAACCAGTTATTCTGTTCTATTTTTATGTGACAGATTAATGTCTTCTACAAGAAATCAAGGGGAAGGAGAAATAAACCACGTTCGGTAATGTAAATGGTTGTAAAAACCATAAGCCTGCTGATGTAAATGTACTCCTGATGTGCTCAATTTAATATACATGATAAAATATGTATTTGCTAAAGCATTGTGGGACATTTATATTTGATTTTACCTACTGTTCAAGTTCTTCCCTTGTTGCGGCCGTTCTCTTTGAAAGATGAGGTACAACTTGACTGTTTACATGGTCTCAGTTGGACTGAGTTTTTAAAAGTATAGATGAAAGCAAGTTTGTTTTTTTTTGTAGTCGTTTGCTGCTGAGCTATAGATTCAGTTTTTTATTAGTCACAGTGGTCTGATTTGTTAAATAGAAGGCCAGGTGCCAAATTGTGGCTTGGCACATATTTGCATTTTCTCTAACTGCTGTTTTTGTTTCAGAGCTAAGCTTAGAAAAGTCACTGAAAGTTCAAACAATGTAGCTTTATACGTGTATGTATGGAATGGAAAAATTAAGTACAGCCTTCCTGGTACTGTGCCATTTCCTGTTGAACATAAATGCGTGCGCACTGGGGATGCGGGCATCGATTAAATACTTGTGCAGGAATCTGCTTTGGAATTATTTGAGATGCAAAAAATATTTGCATAAAAACGTCTTTAGCTCGGGCATTATCCCTTTTCCATTTATGAAATTCCTTTATTTTTATTTGCATCTCTGATCAGTGCGCTTGCCAAACACAGGGTTCTCTGATCTAGCTTACAACTCTGGGAGAACTGTAGATACCTGCAAGATGGTTGTTACAGTTACTTGTTAATGCAGCACTGGCTTTTTTTGTGATTTTTTTTCTCTTCAGGGAGTGTTGGGAACATACATTTGTGACCTGCAATGAACTTGAATCATGGCAGATAGTTGCAGATTTCTTTGATTTTGTTTTCAAACCCAACTTTTATGTTTGGATACTGCTCAGGATAGGGAAGTTCTCCTCTTTATACAGCTGTTAGAAATGCATAAAACATCTTATTACTGTTGGTTGGCAAATTATTCCAGAGCCTTTTAAGAGGTTTTAAATTTAAGATTAAAGCAACATCCATGGTAGGAGCATATGTGAATATTTCTCTGATTTTTGTATTATCAGAACTTAAGAGTCTGCATTCGTGCCATGTTTGTTTTGTAAGTTCGTAACAATACATTTGGCCAGTTAACACATTTTAAAAAGCCTGTCTCTTGAAAATATGAAGGGTATCAACTAGTTTGCTTTTTTAAAAATTTGTGGTTATCTCATTATTCCTTTGAAAATATCAGTTTGTGTTTTTTAAGACGTAATACCAAATAGTACCATGCTTTTAAAATCATTGGCTAAACCATGGCATGAAAGCCTAACCAGATCATTTAACAGACTGCTGGACTTTTAAATTTGTAAGTAGAGGGTTTCTGCTGCAGACGCTAATAGTTTAATAAGAGTTTTTTTTGTTTCAGAAGGTAAAATGGCGTAAATTAGAGTTGCCTCAAAGTGCTCTCTGTTCTGCCTGCAGTACTGTAGGGCCCTTTTAGAAGGAAACTGAGCAGAGTGAAGCTGTAATTGTTTGTGCTCGAGTCTTTGTCTTTAGCCGCGTGAGAAGGTAGTGAGGTAGAGGGCCAGAGAAAGAGAGACATAAATATGTAAATGAGGCAGACAATTAGCCATTAGCAGGCTTCCAGGAAGAGGCTGTGCTTGGTGCTGGTGCCTGGGTAGGGGCCATGTGAGCGAACTCAAACAGGATGGTGTTTTGTTGCTTCCTGTTTTTATCCCCAGGAAGACTCTTGAAAGTTGTGACCGGTAGGGAAAGGGGGCTGCTGCTCTGCTGCTTTTTTTTAAGGCGCCAGTAGCCAATGAGACTGGTCCAACTGGAAAAGAATTTGGCAGACTGCCTAGAAAAGCAGACGGGCGGCCACAGTGTCAGATTATAGGTAAGGATACTGTTTACCCAGGGACGTGTGGTGGGCTGGTTTGTGTTCGTCTCGGGGAAAGTTTAGCCACCTGAGGAAGATTACATGTAGACGAGTCCTTAATGACCGGCATTCTGCGAGCACAAACTCATTTTTTCTTTTCTGTCTAGTTGTGATTTGAAAGAGAAACTTGGTATACTGCTCTGTTATAACTAGTTACCTTTTATCTATTCCACTTGTGCGATTTTGTTTTCACTGTTGTAGTTCTCTAGAATTGCGTAAAAATAGCTAGATAATTAGATACTTCTGATAATAAGTAGACACTACCTGTCGTTAATGTTATTTAAAGTTGAGGTAGGAATCAAGTCCCAGAATAAAATGGGAATATCAACCACAGCCGAGAAAAGTGAGGTAACGTTATTAGTGGTCCCTGGTGGTGGGTTTGAGACCTAGGATCAGACATTGTAGCTTAGTGATAACGTCAGATACTGGGTGCTAATTTAAAATAAATTTGGTTATGGAAAATTTTTTGGTGGCTAAGTTTTTATAATCAATGTAATTACCTACTGCAAAAAGCTTAAATACCTCAGCAGCATTAGTGAAAGAAAACAGTTTATACTTGTGTGCATGCTATAGATCTTAGCTGAGCAGTGCCTGTACAGCTTTGCTTTCATGAGCACAACTATTGAAACAGTCTGAATATGCATGATGTAGGTTTGCGCCATTTTCACATTCCGCTTCAACCAAATGTAATCAAAACCATAGCGCCTCTTTCTTTGCATTCTTGGATTATAACATTAAGCTATTAGATGGTTAACCGATAGCTTTAAAAAATGCGATCTGTGCAACACAACAACCAAATCCAATTGAATCAAGCTTTCCACAGGTCATGAACTTCGTAGGATGTCCTCTTTCTTTACTTATTCTGTCATTTTTTGTGTTATGTGCACCGTTTTCTAGAAACTGTTTTTGGTGTTTGTTGTATTTTCTGTAAGGATTTCATATTAAAAATGTTTATTCCTCCTGTCTGCAGTTGATTAAACTTTTTCATTATAGTATGTTCTATAGGCTGTAGTTTTTTTGCTGTAAATCTGAGAGGCAATTACCAGTAGGCAAATTTAGGCAGAAAGCAAGTTTGTACTGCACCAAGTTGTATGCTATGTGGACACACATGGTCTTGGCTGTCTTTGACATGATCAGGAATTAAAATGTGTTTTTAGACATTCACATTTTGCTCAAAGCATTTTGCTCAAAGCATCAAAGTGTTATAATAGCAGAACATTTTATTAAATCAGTTCAGTTTGTGAGAAAAGTCCAGGCTTGTCATTTAGCAATTTTTAATTTGCATTTCTCAGAATCTTGCGAAATCACGCTTGATCAAGGTAGACTACATGAGCCGCCAGTGTGGAGTGTTCTAGTAGCTCATCCATCACATTTACCAGTCAGTCTAAATTGATTCTGTCAGGTGTTTCTCATCATTTACATCATTTGTTTCTCTGTGCACATCCATAAGCCCTAAAAAGACTGGTTTTTGTACTTGAAAATGCAGATGTCAGGAGAAACTGCTGTCTTGAAAGGGTAAAATGTTCAGTATGTTCGCTAAAAGAATTTCTCCATAAAGAAGGAAAAGAATTGAATAGAAAGAGAAAAGCAGTGCAAAATGTCTAAGATTTGTGGAAGTGTGTATCTATGTAATTGACATTTCAGTCCAGAATTGCATATTTCATTTTAAATAGAAGCCCCTTTAAATTTAAAAGCCCCAGAAAGCATGGTTTTTAATTTAACCTTTATGACTTGCAGAATCCTTATTAATTTACACTTTCTTTTTCATAGGCAAAAAGAAATCCAAGTATCTGAGGACCACCCTTGACTGTCTCTATGAGCAATAGTTGGAGTGATCCTGTTTTAAACTAAGGTGGGTAAGTGACATTTAAAGAGTTTCTCTTATGGGCACCTTACTCTTTGTACAGAATTGAGGAAAAGTTAGATGTCTCCATTCATGGAAACATGCCAGACTTTAAGAAGTAGACATCTTGCAATCTGGTCCATGATCCATAGTTTTTTTCCGTTCCGTATTTCAAAGAGCCCCTTTGTTTTTAGATTTTAAAGTTACCATTAAATAACTGCTTCTAAATAACGCTAACTTAAAAAAAGAACTGTGTGTTAAATTTATATACGATGGGGTTTGTTATAAGTACAAATCCAGAATTCAACCTAGTCTATAAGTCTATCACTAACCCTGGCATTTTGTAGAAGGGTATTGAACCATGCACATCTGTTCACTGCTGTGTGCTTCACGTAAAAAGAACCTTCCTACGTTTGGTTTTTAAAATTTATGGGCTGCCCTTTGGTCCTGGTTGTTGCAATGAGGCTGTCTTTCTGCGGTCTCTTTCAGGATTTTGATCTGCAATCGGTTATTTTTTGTGGAAGATGATCAGTAGTTTGGTCTTCATCCCCTATAAAGATCTTTAAAAATGATCTGGGTCAGGCCTTCTTTGAGAGAAAAGGCCATATTTTCATAGATCTGAAAATGACATTAGAACATGTTTTAAGAGCAAATTTTCACTTACGTTTGGACAACATGAGTCCGAGGATTAATCTCTTTGGGTTTCACTCCAGCAATTTTGTTGGTCCATTTACATTGCGAGTGTTGGTTTTTTTCTTTAATCAACGGGGTTAATAAAAAGACGCCTCAGACTGCTGTTGTGCATGCTTCCTGCTCACAAAATAGCAGGATAATTTTTTTGGTATCTGAAAGAACCTGGTTGCTGAAGAGGCCGAAATGGAATTATTCTACTCGATCTTACTGTCAGATAGAAAGAAACAAAACATTAATCTTTCTATTCTCTCGAGGTATGACAGCCCCTGGGAAATAAATAATAAAGGATGGGATTCTGTAGGTGGCATTGTAATTTTTGCTCCTGAGATGTGACGCATTTCTTACTCAGAATATGCAAGTATACAGATCCTGCCTTCGTGTTATTCGAACTGGGGCAGAATATAAAGACGTTGATTTAAGATGTAAATGCAGTCTGGAAGTGAATCTCACTTAAAAAAAAATTTAAGCAGTTCCATGGTAACCTGCTAGGTGATTTTGAATTCTTTGTGGACTAGACTTGAAGGTCGATAGTTGATGGCATGAATTGCCTGAGACTAAGGAGGCTGAGCTGTGATGATGCACTGTGCAGTCTGTCTTTGGTTTATCAGGCTTTCATGACGCTCATGAGAACAAGAGAGTGTGCACCTGGGTAACGTATGAGGGGGAGGAGGCAGGGTTGAGACAGGCCAGAGTTCCAGGAAGTGCAGCACAATTGATAAACTCTCACCAAACAGGCGGCTCTTCCCAGTTTGCTTAATCCCACCTGCAGAAAAGGGCAGATGAACTTGCTTGTGATATATTTGTCAGGTGGCTTTTTTCAGCTTGCCTTTATAAGCTTAGGAGAGGGTGGAGGGAAGTGGGAAGGTATATCTAGTTAAGGAAGTCGGAGCAAAAATGTAACTAATTTTGCTGCAAAATGGGGGGGGGGGATCATAATGAAAACATTGTCCTGGAATAAGCAAGTTTAATTTAAGATGACAGTGGCCCAAACCCATTTCCTTACATTGCATTTAAAAACATTTTTAGTGCAAGATAATGAGTTGAAGGCTATATAGGTTGTACTTGCACTGTTTACCAGTGTTCCCCAGTCCTTTCCAACTCACATTTGGCTTAGGGTGAAACAAACTCTTCTGTAGTTTTCTTTTATCTTACAATGTGAGGCCTCAGGTTTGTTGTACTCTGAGGAGCATATGAGCCAAAGGCTGTTTAAAGTGTATCAAAAGGCTTCTGTGAGTAAGCCTGGATGTAGAGGTTTAACAAACTAAATCGAACTTGAGAGCTGTTCATTGAAATAACCTTTCCAAGCAGCTGTTCCAAATGAGAGGGGTAATTGCTGCTGCTTTATTTTTATCAACAGAAATTATGAAATTAGCTCTGTTCTTTTTCCAGCATGATTAAGTGATGAGTTGGGGAATGAACTGGGCTGCTGAAAAAACAGCAATTTGCCATCTTTTGCAGCCCGCCCACACGGATAACTTCTTCCTGTTTGTGTGTGTGTGGGGGTGGGGCTTTGTCAGTGTCCATTGTAATTCAGATATACAGTGAATAAGCCCTGGCTTAATACAGATACAATAATAGCACCAACCGGTATTGTAATAAATTAAACCAAAATCTGTACTTTTGTCTAAATGATAATTTATCTGCTGCAAATATCGAATTCTACTGCAGGCTATAGGTAATAGCTGGATTAAGAAATACACATTTATGTAATGAGTTTTGGAAGACATCAGCTACTCTTATTAAATCATGCAAGGAGCTTAAAACCATAAGACGATATCGGGAGAATTATTCTTGTTCTTGTATTGTCTAAATTGTATAATGTGGACTAGGATGGAAGTAGACAAGGAAATGACCAGCTGTACCATCTATTAAGAGAGGTCTGGCTCCTCACATCACTGTGAGTCCTCTGTATAGATTTCACAGGCTTTTCTGTTCTTATTTGGATAATCATGCTTCTTAGTACAGGGTTCATTCTATGGTAGATGTCTTATTTTTGACTGTTTAGTTATTTTTGCCAAATGTGGTGTGTGTTTGGTGAGTCAGGGAAAAGTTTATTTTTAAGTGCTCTTTCTTAATATTTTATTGGATGCCTCGTACGTCTGTTCAAAGCCTTGAAAGTTAGGCAGCAGTTTTGTTGGATGCCCCATCATGTTAAATGCAAATATTTTTTGTTTCAGGAGAACAAAAACATTTATCCTGGCTTGATTTGTGACCCTGTCAAAAATAAATTAAAAAATAGTAACAGCTGATATTTAATTGTTAAAAACATAAATGATCTAAAATGTCTTCTGGATACACATTCAAATAAACTTGTGTATAACAATGTACTTATTTTAGTATAAATTAAACAAGGAATCTGTTTTTTTTTTAATTGACTGAAACACTGTCCTTGACTTGTCCCTTAAGCAGTTCTCCAGTATTGTCTCAGATGAGTTCCACTGGAATATGTATTTGATGCCATTGGACAGCCTTCTTATTTACTTTGTTTTTGGAAAAGCATATAGGAATCTTGGAATGCTCACAGTCTTAAAGTTTGTGCTCTCACTTGCATCCCACTGTCTGCCTGGTGATGGTTTAGAGAGCTGTGTGGCAGCTTCTTTTTCAGTCAACACTGTGAACTTCAAGTGTTTTCTCTCGATTCCCTCCAGATTCCTGAATAGCTGGCTAATTACCATATGATTAATTCTGCCTAAAAAAGCCACTTGCAGACCCTGTTGTGTGTTGGTGTGCTGCGAAGTCCTAGCTCCACATTTAGAAGTGCAGGTCATGCTTGTAAACAGCTGCCTAATGGAACTCAAAACACACAAACATTAGTCATCTGAGTGGGCTGTTGCGTTGTTTTTATCACTCATACAGATTCACTTACTCTTCAAGGAAGGGCAGAGAACATCTTTTATTCAACTTCCCTTTTTATGCAGCTAGGATTTTGCTCTTTTTGTATCGATCAAGATGGACGTGTACTCTAGAGCTTAGGTAGGGGCGTTTTTCGGAATCCTTCAGGAGCTATGTGGTGTGTTGCGCTGTATTGGAGCAGTTTGCGAAGCTGTGCCACGGTATATATGGAAATCGGCCCTTACATGGAAGTTTTCTCCTTGAGTAAGAAATTCCATAATGTTTACATAACCTCTTTACCTCCAGGTACTCTTAGAAAAAATAGTTTCTGCATAGAAAGTTATTAAATGTCTACATTTTGTATAACATTTTGAACACATTCCCCGTATGATGATGTCGGTATTAAAAATACGAAAATGCCAAATTGTAGTGATATACCTTGATTTCAAGATTAGTCAGTAATTGCCTTTTTTTTTTGTTTCCCCAGAATGTGATATTGAATGCTGTTTGATTCCATCATTCTCTACTGCTTAAGAGGTAAGTTTGTTTGATGTGTTCTTATGATACAAAGATTTGCTGACTTTATAAACTGAATGGCTTACAAAAGTTTGCAAGTTTAACTTGTTTAAGGATTTGAGGGTCCAGTGGTGCTTCACCCAGCTCGTGTAAAATAGTCTAAATAGGTGTCTGTGTCTTTGGAAGATCAAATATACTCCTGTGATGACTACCGTTTGTGTCTCGCAAGCCATCTTTGATCAGTGTACTTCCATACAGATGAAAAACCTGAAAGCAAGAATGATTTAGAAATTATAAGCAACACAGATGTGGAAAGGAGTATTTTAGATCAAAAGAAGATAGTATAAAAGTGGGCATCTATAACCTGTGTGGGCCTTGTGTTCTTATATAGATGGGCTTTGGGTTATATTGAGTAACTGTCCCATCTGCTATAGTTTTTGAATGCTGGCTCAGGCACTGTAAAAGTAGTTCCCGTTCACCACTGTGTTGTAAGAGAAGAACCAATTGGAAGGAGCTGTTGGATTTGGGAAATTCTGGTAGAGAGACGAACATGACAGTGAGCGACACAAATTGCGGAAAGAATCGATGTGTTCAAAAAATCTGAAACGGATCTTGAAGACCAGAGAAGACAAACTAGGGCCTTATGGAAGATGCAGAGACTTTGATGGGAATGATAAGGACGCAAAGGTTTAAAGATGAAGATTTGTGAGAGATCCTTTGCAGTTAAAGTATAATTTCAAAGGGATCAACCAGCAGTGGATGGGCTGATGAACTTGTTGACATTACATAGCTTGGATATTCTCCATTTTTGCCCAAGTAAAATTGCTCTTTATAAGGGGTTTCTTCCTGTTTTTTTCAGACAAAAGAAATTGGCAGCTTTATTTATGCTTGAAGTGAACACGAAGGATAGAAGTAGGGCAGTTTCACAAGGGTAGCTATCCGTTCGCTTCACTATCACTGAACAAAAGAGAACAGTGTTTTCTGGAGAGGCTTAACCTTTCCAAGTCTGTCTATGGCTCCAGACATCAGCAGAGCCCCAGGCTTCTGATCTGCACTGCAAGAAACCAAAAAAGCAGTAAAATAAAGAGTTACACTAACACCAAGTTAGCACAGCAAGTAATAATGATTTGCTCGAGATTAACTGTGCTGGAATGTAACAGTGAGCTAATAAATGGCAGTACCACAGAGTCAATTAAACAGCAAGTGTTGGATGTCTGATATAAGCATTACTAACCCTCCACCCCCCCCTTTCCCTCCCATTGTCCATCTCCACGAGCTCCTTCCCACTTTCTTCCGAGTCAGTTTCTGCATGCGTGTCCGTGTGCATGCTCGTCTCTCCGTGTCTGTGTCTTCCTTGTGAGCACACGAGCAGGGGCACATGCACTCCTGCCTGTACATGTGCAAGCCAGTCACCGCCGAGCTGGCGAGTTTCCATTCCCTGCTGGAGTAAGATCGCGGTGTCACATGACACGACTGCACCAGAGCAGGACGAGTCAACAGACAGTGCAGGGCTGAGGCACGAAGCTGCTGGAGCAGCACATTTCAGCTTTAACTACATTGAATATTTCTAGAAATCTTTAGGTGTAATTTCTGCCAGTCTTTAATATTACAATGTGATTGGCACTGTAGAATTGTGTTACCGTCTAGCTGTTGCGTAACACTAAAGAACAACGCAATTCCTGCATGTTTTTTTAGTGCTGTATTTTTTTAGCATCACAATAACTCAGCCAAGTGGCAAGCAGTGTAAACCTTACAATTAGGTTGTTAAGTGAAGATTTGTGCAAGAGGGGGAAAATTAAAATATAGGAATAAAATGTGCCCTTTATGCATCATGATATGCTTTAATGCCTTATGCATTATTAATCCCAATACATATTATATCCAGGTGTGGATAATAAACCGCTTCCAGCAACATCTATTGTTGTGTGCAGTTGTCATTCCATGATTAATTTAGGCTTTGAATAATTTTTTTTATCAAGACATTTCTCAACAATATGCAACAAAATGTTACTAGTTATATTACTTATGTTACTACTCAATAGACGTTTTGTCTCCATTTTTAGTCACGCTCCTGTAGTCTTCCATTCTAATCACACATGCAAATTCTTTTGAGAGGGATAATATCATATAAGATAGAATGTAATGAATAGTAGCTTATTTAGCAGTTCTCTGTGAGGGAGAAAAATAGGAGGAAGGTTTTCTATTTTAACAAAGAAGCAAGTACCTTTTCTGTACTAAAAAAACACCCTATCCATAGGTGCCCTTATTCCAAATGGGTCTTTTATCCTCATGTATTTCTCATTTGTCTGAGACGTTTGAATTAAGGGCATGTCATTTCTGGCACTCTGGCTTCAGTAAAAATGAATCCAGACCTCAGGAAATCTGGCACAAAGGGAATGAATTTGAACTCCTAACACCGAGCACTCCTTTTAATTGGAAAATGGGGTTCCTCTGTCTTTTAAAGCAAATTAAATGTAATGTGATCCATTGTTAGCGAACCATATTTGATGTCGTTCTGCTTCTCTCATCTTAAGCATCAGATTAGGGCTTGTAATTAAGAGAAATGGAAAATGACACACACTTAATGAAACATTCCTTTTATTGCGATGCCAGGGTCTCTAGTCTTGTACATCATGCTCAAATGGGCTGACTCATTGACATGGACTCAATTCAAAAGCTAAGGTGTTGTGGTTCCTTGTGTTTGTTATGTTATAAAGAAAGCTAGAATGTCCTGCGTTTCTGGTGAAAAGGAGCTTGTAATTTAACACTTTTAACTTAAGCTTGTTCAATTACACTTTTAAAATTTAAACCTTTCTTCAAGGCTAAAGTAAGCTGGAAAAAAAGCTTTTATTTTGATTTTTTTTGGCCATTTACAATGAAGAAATTCACAAAAAATTTAGTTTGATATCCTAGAGACCAGGAAAGCAACCCATTAACCTCCATTATACTGAAGTAAGATGGAAAATGTTTATCAGATGTAGCTGCAAGTTTATTCGGAGATTACTATACACACAAATACAATTTTGTTTGTCATGACCTTCGGAGAGCAGTAATTTGGAATGGTAGCCTCTCCTTACTGTTTTAATGCAAAGTATATTGTACTCTGTTTCTAACTTTAGGAACTTAATCTGGGTGTTGATGTCTAGACTGGCAGTTACTTTGAAACCCTAAAATTTGTATCTTCCTCAATCTTTGTGTTTTCATGATTTTGACACTGGATGCATTCTGAGCTACTTCTGGCTATAGGACAGGAAGACAGTTATAAAAAGGAACAAATCGTGATGTGAGTGAATGTGAGGTGTTCCTTTTAGATGTACTGAATGGATTGTGCATCTTCTTATAAACGCAGGGGTCAACGGTTCAACTATCTTTCCTAGCTTTGCATCTTTTTTTATGTTTGCTTCCCGTCATTTTAAAAACTGTCTGTGCAAAAGGCAAAGGTATTTCTTTTTGGTAACCCCAACCTTATCATTAAATATTTGTCCATTGCAAGGTTTTCCTTTTAACTCAACTGTAGCCAGCTGTGTAAAGCAATATAAGTTAAATATTTCCCTTAGTCCTTTTCTTAAATGTTCCTTGGGTTTAGTACACTTAGGGTGTACTCTTTAGTTGAGGTGAGGTTGAAGAGTTTACTTACACACAATTTATACTTCAGGTTATGCTACCACCCCTATCATAGGGCATGGTTTCCTCCTGGGATGGTTTTTGATCTAAACATAGCAGATGCACATGGAATCAACTGGAGAATTTCATGGGAGAACATGCATTACTTCATACTGCTAGTGTTCAGTTTTCTGTGTCACAAGAGAGAGGCTTGTTAATGCTTCATGCATACCTTTTGTTCCATTTGATTATTGTCTGTATGGAATTTCCAAGAAGCCAGTAATTTTATTGACTAGCCTAGCTTTGTGACCGATGTACCTGGACGTTGCACAGAAAACGTTTCTCCTGTTTTCTGTGCAGCAGATGGAGTCAAAAAGAAGTTTGGCATAAGAAAAGCGTTTGTTCTCCCCTTCTGCATCTTCAGCTGAAGGTGGTGTACTTATAGCGGGGGCAGGACTGTTTTGATCTGCTCATCCTTGAGTAAAACAGTCGATTAACTTGTCACATTAGGAAAGCAGTCATGAGCGATGGGAATTTTAAAACGATGAAGGCAAAAGGGCGTTCGTAGCAACGCTAAAAAAAGGCAGATGAGAGACTGACTTGGGTATTAAAAAGGAGTCCAAAAAGCAATTTGCAAGCCACCCCACTATTTAGTCCTATCAATAGAAACAGTTGTAGACCCCTTTAGACTGCCTCTTAGATTAAGTTGCTGCAGTTGAACCCTGCGAGATGTCGTGGCACACATGGTGGGATTCTGTCTAACCTGGTTCGTCATGGAGCATGGGTAGCTGTCAGCGTGGGGATAATCCATGTCTGAGCCTGTCACTGCTGCCTGGCGCACAGGCTGCTGGGAAGATGTGTGCTGTTTTGTGCTAATGCAGTGTGACAGATCTTGACTACAGGGATGCGGAGCTGGTGCCAGGAAGCCACAAGCCTGGTTGAGAGGTGCCAGATGTTGGACTCTGTGCAGGTGTTCGTTTACAGTTTCTGGTAGCTGTAGCCCCACATTGTTGCATCAGTTGGCAGAACATCTGTAGCTCAATTAAATACTATAATGTTTTTTCTTTTCGTGTGTTTGCTGAACTCTATAGCATTAGGTAATATTCAGGCAATGTTATGTATTCATTCCAGGGTATAGTTTGTTTCTAGCATCTTAATACTGCCTACTACTTCATAATGCTTTTTCTTGCACACAAGTAATGAAGGCGGCCTCTTTGCCATCAGTGTAGTAGATCAGAGTGTACAGTCTGTGAGCTAACCCACCCCTTTGCGCCATCTGCAAAGTGCTACCATTGTTCTGCTGCATGTTGGCTCTAATGGGTGTCCTTCTGTTAATACACTGAATCCATGCCTAAAACCTGGCAATCTGTAAAAAATGAAGTAATTTTCCCTGTTCTTTTTATGTAAATCTTTCCAGGTGCTGATATGTGTTCAAGATGAGTGGCCTGGGAGACAACTCCTTGGACCCCCTGTGCTCGGACCGGAAACGCAAGCTCTCCACCTGTGATACACCTGGTTTGGGGTTAGTTCTTCATTCTGTGCTGACTTTCAAGGGGTTTTGAGAGGTGTTTGGAGGTGAAGAAATCCCTTTTTTCTGGATAAGTTGCAATTTTTATACAGCTCCTATTTCCTGCTTTTTAATTGGAGAAAAATAAGTTGCCTGCCAATAAAACTTCTTATGACTGCACCGAACCCAGCAGTGCAAAGTCTGGTGCTTCTCATTTTGAGGAATTTTACCTTTGTATAGCATTATAATAAAGATCTCTCTGCCATTGATTACCAGTGGTGTCAACCACTTAGTCTAGCAGCTGTGAGTTCTGTTATGCTTAGGAATTGTTTTTGTGAACTTCTAATGATTTTCTTATATAGCTGAACACTTTTGTAAGTGTACCAGTGTTCCCAGTGGCTGCCTAGTAAATCAAGTTCATACTCATGACTGGTTGGTCAAGCCGGAGCTCATCCCTGTTTATGAAGTGTTAAGCCCACTGCAGGCACAGGACTCCACCCCGCAAGGGGAACTTTGAACACCAAGTCCTGCAGTGCCCCCAGTGGGCAGATCAGTGGAATTCTTACCTGTTTCAGGTGTGACAAGCGCCGGAGGGAGCAAGAGAGCAAGTACATTGAGGAGCTGGCTGAGCTGATTTCAGCAAATCTCAGCGACATCGATAACTTCAACGTCAAGCCTGACAAGTGCGCCATCCTCAAAGAAACAGTCCGCCAGATCAGGCAAATTAAGGAACAAGGTACGGAATCATCTGGAAATATTCACAAACCCTGCTGCCTGTTTTTGTAAAGGTTTGTTCAAATCACCCCTATCAAACTGAGAACAGTGCTCCTAAATGACTAGTTTGTGTTTTTCAGTGCTCTGAAAATAGAGGCCTTGTACAAAAGTGCAGCAACATTCCCTTTTTGATTTGTTCACCTTTTTGTTTTAGGTTGGAGAGCTAAACATAGTGAATCAGCTGTTAGAGAGTTCAGTTAGAAAGAATTGTAAATTGTAAACTGGTGATTTAAGGTAGCAACGTACACAGTGAGCTCAGGTCTTGGCTGTTGAAGTAGTGATCGCAGTGCTTGGGTGTTATTCTCAGTATCTCAATAGGAAGGGGAAGAGGGTACAGCTGCATCAGACTTTGTGGAGAGGTGTTGCCATAGTTACCGGAAGTGAATAGTAGTTGCACGCACGATTGTTTCTGTTTCTTCACATCAGCATGGATGGTGTTCCTGCCAACAGCAGTGTTGCATGTGTAGTGAAACCTGAAGTGTTTGAAAAATGTCTATCAAGCAATGATAATTGAAGCCTCTTGAGTGCATGTGGATTTTTGGCATTTCTGAAGAAAACAATGCACCCTTTTCTTCCTGTTGAGGATCAGAACATTGCTTGTAATCTTCTAAACTTTCATACTTGCCAACGTCTTGCTACAAGTCAAGGGTGTTACAAATGTCATCCTCAAAATCCCAGTTACCGTTTTTGTTTAATTTAAAATGAGCAAGTTTCCTTTTCCAGACTTAATATAGGCAGCCTCAAATGAGCTATCAATGGCTCAAGTTTCTGCAGAAGCACAGGAAAGAAATACAGCCTTTCTCAAAGGACAATTGTGTGAAGAGAGATCTGCTTTTGGGGCTTTGAGAAAGTTATGTGAAGTTATGAAGAAACATGTGGCTGACGGAGTCCATTGCTGGTATTTTGCTTTTAGGGAACTAGTAGGTTATTTATATATGAATCTTTTCACTGTTGCAGTGTTTCAGTGTTATCAGGTGTTTGTAAATGAGATATTTATGTAATAATTGGTCCACTAGCAAGAACATAGTTTCTGACCCAGTAATGTAGTTCGTCATTAAAGGGGGCCTTTAACAGAATTTACACATGAGTAGTAATTTGATTTTTTGTCGGGCCATCAACAGGTAGTACCAGATTTATATTTATCCCCATTCTAATTTCCCTTGTTGTAGTTTGTCAAAAATGTCCATTCCGCATAAGCTTCACTCTTATTTCTGTACCAATGCTGGGAAGCGAGTCGCTAGAAAAAGTTTTCAACGATGCAAATGGCAATTTTGCGTCCAAAGCTAAACAAACTTGAACTCACGGTAATGAGAAGTAGAACAGATGTTTACAGATTAACAGTTTATATACTAAATGAACAGCTTATTAAGGCAAGGATATAATCAAAATGGGGATGACATGTAAAGCTGGCTCAGACTCAAACACCGAGGTCTGTTCAGCTTTTATATCCTCCCAGTAAGTGAAAAATACTGACCTCTGGTGGCAATACTATTTAGTGCACAATGGACCTTGATTTTATCTGTAGAGTGGGCTTGGTAGACACTTGCCTGGGGGCATTAATTTTGCCATTTGTGATGATTACTTGAGTATTTATGATTACATTTCAAATAGTCAAGGACAAGTCTTTTTTTCAGTGATTTACTGCATTTTCCTTGTCCAGGTGCCCCCTTTTGAAACTCCTCCTGTTATGTAAAATGTCCTGCTGACACCTCAGAATGGTGGTGTTGATGTTATTTAAGGGGCTTCATCTATGTAGATGTTTATGATCATAAGGACTTCAGCTCTATGCTGAACATTGATTAACTTTTTCATTGCTAAGTATGATTTCAGTAGCACCATCAATGGATTAGTCTTTTTCTCAAACGTGACACTGATTCTTTCTTTTTTTTTATTGTGCATACAAACATCTTGAATTAACATGCCTATCTAGATTTCAGTCTTACATGGCTTTGCTCTTCTGCTTACATGGCCCTGTCTTAGGCAGAATAACCTGCATGAGGCTAAGCACAGAGCAGTTGTCCAGTAATCCAGACCTCTCCATTGAGATCGGTCTTATCAAGCTTTCCAGCTGCTCTTGGAACTCTGTGTACCTTTCTTCTGCATCGCCTGATGCTCTCACCCCCTGGAGAGAAAACAACAGAAGTTAATAAACTGTTATTGGAAAAAAAAAACATTCTTAGGGCTTTTGAGTCAGTTTCTTAATGTCTTGATTGATACATACATGGGTGTTTTTGTTTGATTTTCAGCTATTACATGATTATTAAATATCCCGATTATGGCATTCTGTAGGAATGGAAAATGTGTTTGAAATCCCCTTTTTAGTAAGCAGAAGAGAACTGTTGAGGGATATTCAGCCTTCGTAACTCTTTGCACATATGTAGCAGGCTGGTGGAGTGCACCAATATCTGATCAGTTTTGCTCATTCCTTCAGTTTAAATCTGCATTGCAATGTTGATTGGGTTTGATCTCTTCCCCTTGAGACATCTCTGTGTTCTGTTTGCAGGAAAGGCATCTTCAAATGATGATGATGTTCAGAAGGCTGATGTGTCCTCCACTGGTCAGGGGGTCATTGATAAAGACCATCTGGGGCCACTTCTGCTGCAGGTGAGACTGTAGCCTGAGAGTTAATCTGTGAGACCACAAGGGGGTAGTTCAGTTTTCTGATGGGGGAGACTTAAACCTTTTGTTTTGTCTAAATCATATTATGATGCATAACCACTGTTATAGTTTCAAGAACATTTTTTCAGAAGTAAGCATACTGCGAAATCCTCTCTTATAGCTTGTACGGGATTCCTTATTGTGGAGCTAGGGCTTCTTTTTTTTTTGTGTTAACCGCTGGACAAATAAAACACCCCTGATGCCAGAAGTGGTAAAAGGGTGGTAATTTAGTAAACATTGGAAGAAACCACAATTTTTCACAGTGCATCTAGTATCCCAGATAAATATCTTGGTAAATTCTGAATGTACTTAACAACCCTGACATCTCTGTACCCAGGTATAGCACTGTACCCAGATCATAGCTGAGCCTTTGATACAAACATCAACTTAAAGCATTATGTTAATATTCTAAGAATAGTGTACATACTGTGGACTAAAATCACACTACCCCTGAAGAGTGTACTTCAGTCACAATTCATGATTCCCTGGAAGCTATGGGAAATGAACAGCATCATCACAGTGTATTACAATTGACAAAAATAACAATTAATAAGTAAATAAAACATTTTTAGAATAAACACCATCTTAAAACGTCCTTGATCATATTGTAAAAACTCCAGAAAAATAGAAATTACACTATAGCAGCAGTAAATGAAATGCATCCTCCTTACTTATCAGTTCATATTGTTCCACAAAGACCTATAAGACCCCACATACTCGAGCAGGACAGTATCCAGTGATCCAGTGAGGGTATGGCATTACGTCACACAGATGGTTTGGGATTGTTTAGTTAAACCAGTTTGGGCGTTCCTTTTGGAGGTTCAGCTCAGTTCTACAACCACCTTTCCTTCCCAGGCCCTGGATGGATTCCTGTTTGTTGTTAACCGGGACGGTAGTATAGTCTTCGTGTCGGACAACGTGACGCAGTATCTGCAGTTCAAGCAGGAGGAGCTGATAAACACCAGTGTCTACAACATCCTACATGAGGAGGACCGTGAAGAGTTCCACAAAAACCTGCCCAAGTCTAACAGTAAGCCTTCCAAATCCCAGGACTTCTGTTTCCTTGTTGTGAATCGGTGGTATTTAGAAAGAGCTTACCTCTGTTTTTGTGCATGAATGGGAAGCTCGTTGTTACAGTTTTCCTTTTTTTGGAAATGGGCAAGGTTTTGTTGCACATTTGGATTACAGCTCTTTGATTTTCCCTCATCCAGTAATCTTTAGATCTTTTTATGGCATTCATACAGACAGGCTTGCAAAACTAGTATGTTTTTGAAACCACAGGTTTCTGAACCCAAACATTTATGTGGCACAAGACAAGTTATTTTTAGATCGTTAATCATTAATAGTGCAGCTCGGGGTAGAAATATTGTACAATAAAATTTTGTACCTTTTACAGGACCTTTTTAACTGCAATTTGTTACCCTTTTCATTTAACAGGTAGTCTGTTTTATGCATTTTGCCTAATCCAATTAATAGTGTTTAACGGCTTCATCTGATGTAACTCTTCATGATATTAAATTACCTTAGAGGTCTGTATGAATTAAACATGTAGTTCCTGCGAGCATCTGATAAATTAGGAAGAATGCCTGCAGCCATTCATTAATCACTTAAAGCCCTATTCCAAATTCTTAACCCAAACCCGTGCAACAGTAGACAGGTTTGTAAGTTGAGGAAATAGAAGAGGTCAACTGAGGAGCATTTCAATGGATGCTGTTTGATACAGCAGTATTCCCTTTTTAGGTAAGATTTAGGCTTTATCGAAAAATGACTCCAACCTACCTCTATGCTAAAGGTACGTTAGTTCATAAAATGTTTTCCTTATTGTTCTGATTTAATTGTGCTTGACAGCAAAAAAAATCTCTGCCAATTATATTTAAAGATCAGTAAAATAATGTTTGTACTATGAAGCCATGTTTCTACCACAACTTAGTTTTGCATGTCTTTTCTGGACCTGAGTGTAATGTAGCGGGTTTTTCTTCTGTTTTTTATTTGCAAAGGAGCCTTTCAGCTGAGTTCCTCGGTTTATTAGAATCACAGTGAAGATATAAAAACTGGAGTGCTTTGGATTTGTTTTTTGACCTGGCGCTCTAACAAATGTTTATTCCTCACAAGGGTGTACTCATACGCAAGTCCATTTTCTTTAAGCCTTCTCAGAACATTAAATGGCCCACCAGTAGAAAAGTCTGTGAACTCGCGAGTCTGGGCTTCATGCATGGTGGGACTGCAAAGTCAAGTCAAAAACATTTATCTGCAGCATCCAGGTGGACACTGGTCAGAGTTTGTCCCCCAATGAGCCAGATGTGAATTGTGTGCCAGTAAGAAAATTGAATCTCATATGCATTCAAAGTGCACACTCTGCACTTTGTATGAATTATATGAATGCTTTTTTGAGTTTCACTACACAATTTTTTGCTTTTGAGCTTTGGAGTCATTTAAGCTGAATGTTACAGTTCTATCTCCCTCAACTAAAAAAAAAAAGGATACTTTTATGTATCTAATAAAACAAGATACACATGATGCATTAATAACACCAGAATGTTCAGCATGGGTACATTCTACAGGTGCTGAAAGACCTTTGGGGATGTCTTGATTTCTCCCTGCTTGCAAATATTACTGTACAAGAATAAATAATTTTGAGTTACTTTACAGTCTGAGGAAGCCTTCCTCCAGGATGTGAGAATCTTTACATAAAATCAAAAATTCAAGCCTATAGGATTCAAGGCAGCCTAATGCTGATTTGGAGAACTCTGGCAGATTATGCTAATAGTTCCAGTGTCCTGAAGCGTCACGCCAGGAGGGTGGATGTGAAGAGCTCTGTGAGGGACATTTGTGCTGCTGGGGCGAATATCAAACGGGAATCTGCACCTCGGGCTTCTGAGAGGACTGACTCTGGCCTTTCATGCTTTCCTGTAGTGAACGGCGTTTCTTGGGCCACCGAGGCGCCCCGGCAGAAGAGCCACACTTTTAACTGCCGGATGCTGATGAAGTATGGGCACAGCCCCCCTGAGGAGGGGGCGGGGAGCCCCCGCTACGAGACCATGCAGTGCTTTGCACTGACGCAGCCCAAAGCCATGATGGAGGAAGGCGACGGTACGACCTCTCTAGCCTTGTTGTGTGAATACTCAAACCCCCCCCCCAGAATAGCCTAGTCTTCCAGCACCTTATGCACAGGCTTGTAAGTGCATTGTAAGTAAATCCACCCCCTTTGGAATGAAACACCCGAGTGTAAACTGGATGTCTGCTAAAATGTTTTTTCTCCTCCCCAGATTTGCAGTCTTGTATGATCTGTGTTGCAAGGCGCATTACTGCTGTAGAGCGAACGGAGAGTTTTATCACAAAGCATGAACTCTCAGGTAAGCTGTTTAAGACCAGTGGGAAATGATGCGTTGAAAGAGGTTGAAACGGCTCAGTTTCTATTTGGCATTGCTGCTTCAAGTGGCCAAACTCAATTTTTAGAGATCACCTCTGCCTTGAAGTATTGAGAATCATAGCTGTGGTTTGAAACATGCAGATTATGAAGGTACCTACCGGATCTGATCCAGAGGGGGGAATCTGCAAACCTCCACTGGCTTTGACAGTCTGAGGGCTAAGTGAGCCAAATGCATTGAAATCTAGGGGGACTGTAACTGAAGGGTAGTGCAAACACCATGTGGCTAGAACAACTTTTAAGCACCTGGCTCTTACTGACCCGCCATGTGCAAATAATTGTTCTCCTGGTGTCAATTGTAATGATGGAATTGAGAGACAGGAGAAACGTTGGATTTTGAAACTGGTAACCACACAGCTGCATTCATTATCCCTAAGCTCCTGGGTTTCCTTTAACAGGGAAACTGATTCAGATAGACCACAGCTCCCTGCGCTCCACTATGCGACCAGGTTGGGAGGACCTGCTGCGCAGATGCATCCAGATGTTCATGCATCACAGTGAGGGGCAGCCCTGGTCTCATAAACGCCACTACCAGGAAGGTATGCCCATTGGCTTGCTCGTTTTTAATGTCTGTCGTGTACAGCTCCAGCCACTTCATGAAACTGCTTGATTTGAGAATTTTTGCATATGGGGTACAAAATAGAAAAGTAAGGTCTTACCTATGCTAATTAGCTTTATCTTGGATATTGGGAAGCATATGATATACTTAGTTTTCTTTTTTTCCCCAGTCGTACAAATAAGAGGTCAGATGAGAGTTTATCTATCTCCTGGTTTTGATATCCAAGTCAATGTAGATCAGGTTTAGATAAATTAACCAATTTCTTCTTCCCGCCCTTCAGCCTTCATGCAGGGTCATGCTGAAACCCCTCTGTACCGGTTCTCACTGTCTGATGGCACTCCAGTGACGGCACAAACCAAAAGTAAACTTTACCGCAACCCCATGACCAACGAGCCCCAGGGCTTCATTTCCACCCATCTTCTGCAAAGGTATACTTTTCTAACCGCTTCTAATAACTGGGTTGCATTCAAGCCAAGTAAGTTGTAATTTCATAATTATTTTAGCATGGGTAGATAGAGCAGGTGAGATTGTAAGAATGACTGGCAGACACTGATCATGTGCAGCAGTTCATATTCTTTTCTGGGGCATTTCTGCTTCAGGTCAGGTTTGTTGTTGGCTGCAAATGTAACACTGGTAAGTTTATCACAGAAAGATTGTACCGGTATTGCGAGTGTCGTGAAAAAATGTCTTGTTAGAGCATTGTGCTGATTTGGGGTTACTTTAAGACAAAGGTTCATGCTCTAATATGCTTGGTTTCTTTTCTGTCAACTCTTACTAGGACATTACCTAGTAAGTAGTCAGTGTTTTGGGTCCTTTTTATGATGGTTGTCATTTGTGTTTAAAAAGAAATAAAAGCATTCTTGCAATTCCTCATTGATCTTTATGCACAGGGTACGCCTGGCCTGATCAGCAGTATCGATGGACTTGTTCAGATGAGAACCCGAGGAACTTCAGGTTGTACAGTTAGGGGAAAAAAAGGTTTTGATCATCTTTTTGTTTGTTTGTTTGTTTTAGGGAGCAGAATGGATATCGTGCAAACCAGGGTCCGATGATCCAGGGCATGAGACCCATGGGGAATTCCACCCCCAATGCTTCTATGAACATGCCCCCCGGTCCAGGCATGGGTATGGGGGGCAACAGAGGCTTCAGTATGAACGAGTCGGGGCACATGGGCCAGATGGGGGGCTCCATGTATGGAGCCACCAACAGAATGATGCAGATGAATCCCATGAGCCAGATGTCTCAGATGGGTCAGATGAGCCAGATGAACCATCCTGGCCCTGGAATGCAGCAGCAGCCTCCATACCAGGGCAGTGGGTATGGCCTGGGCATGAACAGCCCATCGCAGGGGAGTCCTGGGATGAATGTTCCCCAGCAGAACCTCATGGTTTCACCTCGCACCCGCGGGAGTCCCAAAATGGTCCCCAGCCAGTTCTCTCCAGGAGGTATTGTACAAGCTTTTGTTTTTCAAGCTTGTTTTTTCACTGGTCATGAGGTGTATATCTGTACTCGCATAACTATACTTGGTGCTTTTGTACAGTGCCCTGGTAGAATAAAATGAGACACCTGTGTTACATAGCACTGGGCACCCATGTGGGCAGTTGGTAGAGGTGTGATGTGGCTAGCTCACTAAATAGTTCATGCAGCTCTTTTAGTGGTTGCGTTTCAGAATATACCCGACTGTTCAGTTCAGTAAGTGAACTGTTGGGAACAGATCCAAGACATTTTGTCCTTTCTTTAATCTGTGACACAGTTGCTCGCTATAACAGTGCCATGGCATAATAAAATATTAGTAATTCCTTGCATTTACATAGCACTTTTAATCTCAAAGCAATTCACAATGTAGCATAGAACATCTATTGTGGCAGAGTTTAAGTGAGATATTGCTGGTTTATTTAAACATTAAGTACTGCATTGTGGATAAGAGAATGATACTGTGTATTTGCTGTTGATGTCTTACTATAACAGACCCCAATCATTGGTCATCATTTTTTGTTTGTGTTCAGTACTAAAAAAAAGGTAACTGAAAAAGTCTAAGTGAAGGTCTGTAATCTAGTGTTTTATGGTCTCACCAATTAAAATTTTGAACATTTGTTGCAAAATGTGAAAAAGTGGTTGGCTTGTAATTGAGTCTTGAAGGCTGAGCACTAATAGGAATGTTTGCCTGCTTGTGTTGAAGGTATGCACTCTCCAATGGGCCCAGGCAGTGCTGGTGGAGCCGGAGGTGGGGGGAACAGCAACTTCTCTAGCAGCTCCCTCAATGCTTTGCAAGCCATCAGCGAAGGTGTGGGCAACCCCATGCCTTCCTCCTTGTCCTCCCCAGCACACAAACCAGACAGCTCACCGAGCATCAACTCCTCCCAACAACAACAACAACAACAGCAGCAGCAGCAGCAACAACAGCAACAACAACAACAGCAGCAGCAGCAGCAGCAGAACCAGCAGTGTAAGGCAGGCCGTGTGGACTCGCCTAGTCCAGCAGGCATGTACGTTCCTGGGGGGGATCATCACCACCATCTCCATCACCACCATCATACCCCGACAGAGAGTGCTACAGATAGGCCTGACAGCCAGGCAAGCTTGCGTGTCACCAAGGAGGGCAGCGAAGTTGGTACTGGTGGTGCAGAACCTCAGAGGCGACTGTCGGACAGCAAGGGAAACAAGAAGTTACTTCAGCTGCTGACATCCCCTACTGATGATCTTGGCATGGTGGCGGGAGGTGTTCCCCCAACTGGCGCGAGCACCCCATCCACGCTGGAACCCAAGGAACCCGCAGGATGCGTCACCAGCCCCTCTTCCACTGGTGTGTCCTCTTCGTCATCCTCCTCTTCCTCTGCTGCCCAGCCCCCAGGGGGAGTCTCTTCGTCCTCCTCGAGTGCCCATCACGCAGCCTCCCTGCAGGAGAAACACAAGATCCTTCACAAGCTGCTGCAGAATGGCAACTCCCCGGATGAGGTGGCTAAAATCACAGCGGAGGCCACAGGCAAAGAGACCAGCAGCCATGAGGCTGGAGTGGCAGACCTGGGTACCATTGGCACTGCTGGGACGGGAGGTGGAGGGGTGGGTGGATCAGGTGTGCCGGACATCAAGCAGGAGCAACCCAGCCCCAAGAAGACCCATGCTCTGCTGCACTACCTCCTCAATAACGACCCCAAAGAGCCCGCAGACATCAAGCCAAAATTGGAAGAACTGGAGGGGAAGACCCAACAGAATGCCTGCAGCAGCTCAGGCCTGATGCCCTCCACCCCTGAGAACGGAGAGAACAAGATCAAGACAGAACAACCAGATGAGGTATTGAGCAGTCTGTAAGAAAAATCAAAGCACAACCAATGTTGAACTTTCAAGAAGTTCAGGTTCCGCATGTAGCTGCAAGCCGATAATGTTTTGAATGTGACAGTTTGGGAGGAGTTCAATGCCTTTTTGCTAGCCTTGATGATAAAAAAAAATAACTTGTGATCAGTTACGTGATTGTGATTTTCAGCAATGTACTTATGTGCAAGAGCTGAAAACATTTACTTAGTTCTTTAAAACATCTGGAAGAATGATGTTTTCCCTAACATAAAAGTCAATTCATCCAAAACACACAAGTGCTTAAATCCCCATGAAAAGCAGTTGGTTTCTTCTAGGTTGATTGGAATATAGGTATACCTGTAGAGTATTATTTTTATGTAAATGTCTCCAATAAGTAAAAATTATTCACTATGGTTGTAAAGTTGAGCTAACTTTGTTTCTGTGTCATAGCTCCATGACACTCTGGAGACCATCCTTGGCGGTTTCAGAAACTCCAGCTCCAGTTTTTATCAAGAATCTGGTGTTGGAGCGGGGAGTGATGTTGCTAACAAGCAGCCTGCCTGTCCGGATGATGCTATGCATGGTAATACTCTATCCTTGTGCAGTGACCCGTCTCCTCTGTGTGAGTTAGACCTTTTCTGATGTTCCCGTCTGCTCGGTCCAGGGTTGAGGAGTCCTGCTGGGTTGAGGAGCCCGGAGCTGGGGCCACGTGGGCCCTTTCAGCGCGCCGTGTCTGTGGATGGTAAGCCCCCAGTGGGAGCAAATTCCCTTGGCCGGCGTAGTGCCCCCTGCCCCATGCTTGTTAAGCAGGAGAGCATGGATAACCAGCGCATGATGGGAGGGCCAGAGAACTTCCCAGGAAACATGGGTGGGTGTCCTCAGCTCTTTGGAGAACTATTTTTTTTTTACTTTTTGACTCCATTTTAAGTATGTAGAAATTGCTTGTGCGTTAGCTAAGAATGTTGTTTCCCACAAACTGCTAGGATATAGAGTTAAAAGCATTTTTATGCTTGTCAGCCAAGGGAGGTTGTTGAAATTGTACAATGTTTTATTAAGGCCCCTTTTAGAACATGGGAAGAAAAAATATTTTGTAAATATTTGGTCTGGTTACCATGTCAAGCAGGAGCCATGCTGCTCTGCAGCTAGTTCAGAATAGAGCATTTAGATTGCTTAGTAGGCTTGAGGAAATATTGTATGCTGCCTGTTAAAACTGGCTATCTTTTATCATTCTGGAAAAGGAAAGGTGGTTGAATTCAATATTTAAAATCCTCAAAGGTATTATCAGATATAACCCCCAGGCACTTTCTGCAGAATTAATTCATATCAGAGGATACAAATGGAAAATAAGGGAAAGTAAATTTAAGACTAAGAACAGGAGGATTTTCTATGCAGAAATGGTTATAGGAATCTGGGGCAAACTCCCCTGCAACGCTGAAGCCTCCATCCTGATCTCCTTCAGATTGTTCCTTGGATCAACTGACAATTAGCAGCCGAACAAGCTTGATGAGCAGAATATTTGTAACCTTTCTTAACCTTGTGTAAAACCCAGAGAACTGTAAAGCTCTGCCATTCCAGCTTTTTACCTGCAGAATTAAACCAAAGGGGCAGGTAATGCTTAAGTATTAATGAGGTCAAGGACGATGCCTGGGTTACATCTGAGCCGTTGTAATTTTTTTTCCAGGCATGGTGAACAGGGGTCTGGGTGTCCCACAGCGCTCTCCAATGGGGGGGTCAGGAGAGTGGGGCATACAGAGGTCAAATGCCAGCCCTGTGGGCACTTCTAGCCATCCCATGGTTCGCCCAGGTATGGACTACAGCTCCAAACCAATGATGGGTGGGCCCATGGTTGGCAGGTCAAACAGTGTGCCGGGCAACAGGTCAATGCTACAACAGCAGCTGATGGATATGGGTAAGTATTAGCAATGCCCGGCAAAATATCCTGTTCACCTTGTGGCATAAACTCACATCTTCCACACTGTTAGACCCTTCCGAGAGTGCTTTGTTCTAGCCACATTCCTTTAGGAAGTACGCTACAATTTAAATTTGAGAAATAATTCAAGATTGGCTTTTTGCAGGGCCGAATGACATCAACATGGGCATGACCCCCTTCAATCAGCAGGGCCCTCCAAACCAGTCCCCTTCCTGGCCTGAGAATGTGATGCCCATTGAACACGGTCCTCAGAATAGCCAGAGCAGGTAACAGCTCTCCCGCCTTCAGCAGTCCTGCGGGGCATGCTTTTCACGCTCTTGTAAACGCGCAGTGCCTCTTTTATGGAGCTGTAACTTAACAGCTTACAAGATAGCGATCTACTGCTCAGAGAATTACACACCCCTTAACCACATCCATTAAATAAGATATCTGCTTTCCAATTAAAACGCGTTTACGAGAGGCACGAGGAGATTGTTTTAATGCAAATAAATGTCAATAATGCTAAGGGGTTAAGCCAGGATTTGCATGCTTACTTGACAGCCAATTAATACGCAAATTCATTTTAACGACCTTCCAATTGCAGACTTAACAATGCACTTTAATAAACAATGATTTCAGCAATTGCACATGGGAGTTTGTCTGGTGTTGAGCTCCTACCTGTGTTTCAGGCGGCAGTTTGCTAATCCCTTGGACGACCTGTTGGTACCACCTGCTACCAGTGAAGGGCAAAGTGACGAGCGTGCTCTCCTTGACCAGCTGGACTCGCTGCTCAACAACACCGATGTCATGGCTCTGGAGGAGATTGACCGGGCACTCGGTATCCCTGACCTCGTCAGCCAGGTCAGAGCGCTGCTTCCTGATAATTCCGCACTGAAAAGAAAAAAAGCCCAGTACACAGTGATGCCCATGCAGCTTTCTGTAGCTTTGAGACGCACCTCTGCCTGTTCCTTTCAGTCCTGCCTATGTAGTTGCCTTGACAGTGTTCACAGGTCACATGCAGTTTTGGAAGCAACAGCTTTAATAGCTTATGCTTTTTTTCCCCCTCAACTGACTTCTGTTCTAATCGTCAACCCTTTAATAGTCTTCTTTTATCTACAAGACTTGATTTTTGTGGCACTGATCTGTTCTCCTATGCCTGCTCTCTAGTAGCCCTGAAAAAAAATTGATTTCTTCAAAGTACTGTCCTGGTCTTTGTCAGACCACTAGGCTGTTCATTTTGATTGTGACTTGTGACCCATTTGGGCACTGTTGCTTTGTGGATACTGCTACACGCTACTGCTTAATTTTTTTAATTTGTCATTCCAAAACAAAGCTGTACCGTTGAAAGATACATGGTGCTCTTCGGCAGGATGCTCGCTCTTATTTAAGAAGGGATACTTTTGTGTCTTTTTTGTGTGCTTGCGTTCTGCTTGCCATAAGAAAAAAAAAAAGAGCTGTGAAAGTATTCAGTTGTAAGGTACGTTTTGTTTCTGCAGGGCCAGGGTGTGGACCCTCAGTCAGAGCCTTTCCCTGGGCAGGACCCAGCCTTGGTAATGGACCAGAAGCCCCCCATGTACAGCCAGGGTTACCCAGGACCCCCTGGCATGGCCATGCAGCCTGCGTACAGTAGCCCTATGCAAGGCCAGCCCCCAGGTTTCAACCCCATGATGAATCAGATGAGCCAGCAGGGCAACTTCCCCATGGCGGGCATGCACCCCCGCCCCAATATGATAAGACCCCGGATGATGAATGCCCTCAAGCCACTGCGACAGCAGCTGGTGCAGAGACTACAAGGCCAGCAGGTAAACCCGGTTTTAGTCAATCCCTGTTAACCATCAACCATTGACATGTGTTTCCAAACCAGCTTCATTTACCTCCTCATCTCTACATTAGCCATTAGAGGCTTAAACGGTTTTACTGCCTTTGACCCCAGCTGTTGTGGTCACATTTTGTGCCATATCAGGGGGAATTCGACCATGGACAGTGTAACCGCCCCCTCACTTCTTCAGCCTAAATTGTCGTAGAATATTTACTGTGGCATAAGGAAGTATTGGCGATATCAGTTTGTGAACTCGGCATTCCAAATCTGAAAATATTAGAATTGAATCTGAGAGAATTTAGTAGCAGGTTAAACAAGTCAAGTGGGTGAAGCTCTGTGATGGTGACATGACTTTCTGCCTACAGTTTATGAACCAGAGCCGGCAGGGCCTGGGTATGAAGATGGACAACACGACTGCAGGGAACCCAGGTCTTCGGCCTGCCTTGCAGGCTCCCATGGGGGGACAGGTAGGTCTTCACACAATTTTACTGTACCTCCAAACTTGCTGGTCTTCTTCCAATATCGATACGTCTCATTTGATTCTTAAGAACCTAACTCTTTCCCTCAAGAATTCCCCTACTACCAACAGGTTTTATCCATGCATAAAAGTTGCGGGGGGGAAGGGAGTACTTGTTCATAAACATTTTCACTTTGTAGCCTGTCGGTGGTTCTCAAGCTTTTCTCTCTTCCATTTTCAATGGACCAGTCTCGGTAAGAAGCCACTATTTCTGCACTGAGGAACATTTAAGTTAATATTCTGAATACCGATATACCCATACTTCTTTTTATGCATGTTTTTATGACGATTTTGTACTATGGAGCGTTTGAATTATCCACATTTCGAATCACAAAAGCCAACCTCGAGAAACTTCTGAGAAGCAATGCGAAGAAAAATGTCGAAAGCTCTGCCAAATGTAGAGTGAAGAGGAAGGTGTCATACGACTCGTTTTATAGTGGAATGCAATGCGCACATTCAATAAGTAGTATAGGTAAGAGCCAGCCTTAGGAGGGGCAAGAGAGACATGTGATATTTCACCACGTCTTGCTTCATGTGTTGTTCGCTATTGTGTGCGCTCTTACCTTTCAAAAGAATATTTGTGGTTTAGATTTTATCTTGGCCCCTAAAGGTGTTAAAAATGAAAAGTGAATTGCGAGTGTGTGTACTTACACAAAAAGCAAATGGAGTGGTTACTGTACAGTACTGTACTCGGGTATAATTAATGATATTGAACTGTGTGTGCAGTTTTTATATTTATAAGTAAAACCACAAACCACAGTCGGGATGTTACTTGTAATTGTTTATTTTGTCATTTTTTGGTGAAAAATGTAAAAGTAGGGGTGGCATTTTTGGGGTCCGGTACGGATTGTGATTTTCCCGCGTAAGAAATAATGGAAATGTTTTTTTAATGAATTTTCCCTATTCGTAAGAATTTCCGGGAAATAATTACATTGGTAAAAAAAAGGTGGTATGGGTGTGTACTGTCACTTCTAAGAAAAGCAGAACCATTGTAAGCCCACATCTGTATTTTCCACACTGCTGATTTTGGGGATGAAAAGCTTTTGCTTACATTGACCCTCTGGACTTTGGGTACCCACAGAAACAAGTCATTTGAAAACAACTCCTCTGTTACAAAACTGAAGGAAACTGTGCCAGGGGTGCTTTTGTTTTATTGTGACTGTATGCCACAGCAGTTAGCGTGCGATGTTATACAGTGGAGAGTGTTGCGTCTGGGTGGTTGAACTGGGGCCCAAGCCCCCCAACCTCTGGTGGGCTCATGATGGAGGGTGGATGTCTTGTCTGCTCCTAGCCCGGGTTCCTGAACGCCCAGATGATGGCTCAGAGGAACAGGGAGATGCTGAACCACCAGCTGCGGCGCCAGAGGATGATGATGCTCATGCAGCAGCAGCAGCAGGCGGCGGCTGGGGGCTTCAGCCCCCCACCCAACGTCACCGCCCCCGCCGGCATGGACACCCCCATGGGCGGCCCTCCCATGACCCAGCCTGGCCCCCAGCAGTTCTCCTATGCGGCCAACTATGGTAATGAGCTACGGTTACAAGCATGCCCTGGAGTTCTCCGGTTTCATGGAGTACTTGTGTACTTCTTGTTTGTTAGTTATTGGATCAATTTCGCCGTCTTTTCACATTTGGACCTCTAGGCTAATGCGGACAGAAAAGGTGGGTGTGTTTCAGCGCTGTGTAAGTCAGACAGGCACAGCAAAAAACCATGAGGAGTGTCTCTGCTCAAACGAGATCCAAACAAGAAGAAATTGGAAGGTCACACTGTGAAATTGAAGAAAACTGAGGGTATACAGAGAGGAACACAGATGAAGAAAAGGTTTAATTGAAACTGAAATAGGATAATTTCCTTTTTACAAGTTTGTTGGCATGAATTCAAGAGATTCAAACTGATCTAAGACAGAATGCGCTTAAATCCAAGTGAAAATTTAATGCAGTTATTTAAAGCTCACCATCTAAAAAGCCTTGGTTGGTGCTTTAAAAAATAGTGACTTTTGCTGCACTCTAGTGGCAGCTATCAGATATCTGTATATGTTGTCTTGTTTTTAAATCAGTCAGTGGTGTACCTCTCTAATGAGCCAAGTAATATTTGTTTAGCAGACACTCCTATACAGGGTTAGCTTACCAGATATACAAAAACAGATTAAGTAAACAGAAAAATATAATTCAATTACAGGAAAAAAGAACATTAAAAACACATGAGCAAATTGGAACATGCTGATGGTGCAATACTTGTGCAGCACACCATAAAAACAATGCAAATCAACATTGTTGAGCAACATGTAAGGAGTTACTGATTCCAGTAAAGGACTCCTGTTGAGCAGAGTGCAGTATCGGGCTGGTAGTAAAAGTTCATGGCAGTGTGAGAGATCACCGGGGCTGTCAAAACCGATTAGTGCTGAGGAGTCCCTGACAGCTCTTTTCAAAGGGTAGGTCTGAAGCCAGGTACATGAGTGAACAGGACCTGCAGGTGCAGGAATGAAGAGGTGGAAATGGCGGAGTGCTGAGGTTTGGGAGGGTATATAGGGAGAGCTGCTAAACTGGATCATAGTGGTTAAGACAGCAGTAGGCAGGAATGAAGGTTTTAAAATGGATGCATGCAGCTATAGGAAGCCTGTTGAGGGACTGGAGTCTCACAGTATGGTATTAGAGAAATAAAGTCGGGAAAGACCAGGTAACCGACAGGATTCTGAATGGGTTGAAGGAATAAAAACCCTGTGTTCCTGTGCCTTTGACTTTCAGGGATCAACCAGCAGGGTGACCCTTCATTTGTCCGAGCCGCAGGCAGTCCCCCCAACTCCATCATGTCAGCTCGCCTGGGGCCCCCCCAGAATCCCATGATGCAGCAGCACCCTCAGGGTGGGCCCATGTACCCGACTGCGGACATGAAGAGCTGGCCTCAGGGGGGCATGCCCAGGAGCAGGTACAGTACACTTCACACAGCAGCTTTCAGCCAGAGTGGTTCATTAGTCCCAACGAAGCTGAAGGACAAGCTGTCTATGCAAAGGTGTAATAATGCGCGTTACCTTGTTAACATGTGGCATTTAACCAAGAAAGACTGGGTATTCACAAAACATTATGGGTGTGGTATACAAATTCTTTGCCTGATGGTTGCTTGCCTAGTCTTTAAGTGAAGAAGAAGCCCGTCTAAAGAAGGAACTTTTTTGCATCATGAAACTGTTCACAACATTTTAGTTGGTGCACGTCCAAAAATTTAGCGATTATTTTGGCTTTTTCCTGGACAGCTTAACTGAAAGGCGTTTCTTATAACATGGAGGTAATGTCTGAGCCTATGTAATGCCTAAACATCTGAAATGTGTTTATGGAAAGTGCCAAAAAAGCCTGAACTGGCATTGGAATTAAAATCCGTCACAGCCATGCAAACATTTTTGCCTTTTTTAAGCGTGCTCCTGTTTTTCAGAAGCTTTCCTTTTCATAAAAAAGGGATCTAAACCCCGAGTTGAAGGATGTGCATTGACCTTTGCGTGTTCAGTAGCTGACAGACAACTAATTGCTGCGTGTTGCTTTTCCTACAGCTCCTATCCTCAGCAGCAGTTCCCCCAGCAAGGGAACCCTGGCTCTTATGGCAATATGATGATGAATGGCTCCTTGCCTGTGAATGGAAATGGGGGTCACATGGGGCAAATGCCAGGGCAGATGAACATGAACCCCATGGCAATGGGCCGCATGCCAATGGGGCCAGAACAGGTACTGGTTCTGTAGTTTTACATTTACTCCTGTATTATTAGACTTGCACTGAGCTGTAAGGTATTTTTGCAGCCCATCTTGGTTTACTTGGATAAACTGTATACAGGTGTATTGTCTTGGTAGACCATATGTTATTACGTTTTGCATGTTAACGTGATTTCAGAGTTGCAGCTTGCCACTGCCTAAGCAGGCTGGTATTGTTTTGCAGAACAAATATCCTTTGCAGAACAATCTAACTTTTGTACTCTTGCTTTTCTTGCAGAAATATTGCTGACACCCTGATGGACTCATCACAAGTGCTAGAATGGTGATTCACTGTGAACCCTGTTAAGAAATGCGTGCTCCATGTTTAGGCAGCTTAATTGTGCCCATTTCAATGGACTGAAAACAAAAACTGAGCACTGTTCCTTTGCTGAAAAGCCAGTTTCGACCAGAAGAGACCCCATAAGGTGAACAGATCACCTGGAACGAATGCTTGGAATCTGAGGAAGACTTGAGACTAACAGCTGGGTGTGTGCGTCTGATGTCCAATCTTAAGAACCTTATAAGTCTAGTGTGGGATTCTTGGGCCTTGGCTGTACCCTTTTAGGTACAGGAGCTACCTATATTCTCTGGACCAAACAGAAAAAACCGGTCTGATTGTAAAACTAAAGAGCAGTCTCATTTCATTAATAGAATACAAGTCATGCAGTATTTAGCCTTTTAATATGGGAAACACTCTTTGCTTTGAAATTTGATGGGTTAAGGTACTAAGCAAAATTATTTAGTAGCAATTGGGTGTTAGTGTTTGCACTTTACAGAGAGGCTAATATTGAAAGGATTGTTGCAATATTTCTTGGTCATTATAGCCTTATTCAAGAACTAATGCACAAAGCATAGCTGGTTTTTCTTTTATTCTTTAAAAATAATCAGAGGCCCATTTTAATTTAAAATGTAATAAGTGGAAAGCAGTAAGCACAGATGTTTTTTTATTATGCAGATTTAAGCAATAATTTTTCCTCTACAGTTTAGACTGAAATTGAAATGGAGTGTCATCAACTCAAAGCAAAGGTACTTCAGTATTAGATGTCACATTTTTAATTTTGGTTGTCTGTGAATATGAATTGTAAATATGCTCAAATGTATTATAACTGCTTTTGTAGGTCACATACCGTTTTTGCACAGATTGTAAGGCTAAATATTTAAAAGTTTATATATTTTTTTTCTCTGTTTCTTGTAGGTCAATACAGTTTCACTTTCACTGTGCAGTATTTTATTTGGGGGAGGGGAGGTGCATTTACCTAATAAGTCATCTGATTTTCTTGTAATAGCCACTTTTTTGGATAAAGGCACTTTTGTTCCTGGTTAAAATCATCACTTTCCATTTTAAGAGAAAATTATTTTATGGTGGGTGGTGGTGAAAAGAAATGGGACTTTTATTTTGGATTTAAGCATAAAATAAGTATAATTTTAAACCTGAGTGTGGTATATACAGAAATGGGCCACCCTGCCTGGGTGTTTTCACATGCTTGAAAGGTATGTGGAGTGTAGAGTTTTATGTGGGCCTGAGCAGTGCTAGGCACGTAAGCTTTGTTAATGTTTTTTTTACCTCATCCTGTTCATTGATCTAATGTGAGACTGGTGGGATCAGATTTAGATTTTGTGGAACAAGGGATTTTCTTTTTTACCCCTACCATAAAAGCTTGTAGATGTTCCCTAAAATTAAAAACTTTTTTTAAATTCCTCGATTAACTTTGTTGCAAATTGAGGGTTTGGAATTATTCAGGATATACTCCCCATCATGACAGCCTGCAATGGCTTTGACTTCTGTTTTCTGTTTGGGCTGTGTATTCAAGAGAGAAGCATGTGTAGCTGGAGTGTGTGTGGACATTGGATTTAAGCTTCATGTGTTGTTAGTGGTGTTGAGATTGCTGACGAAACTTTGTATGTGTTTTGGAGGAGACACCTTTAAGAATGAGTGTGGAATTCTGACTTTTTTAATTTAACAGTCTGCATTAAGGTGGCATTGTGATATTTTATTCCCTTTAATGTTTCCTAATGTTCTTTGAGATATCTACCTTGTAAGACATGCGCAATCCAAAGATTTTTTTCCAGTGCTTAGAACAGTTTCTTACATTGACAGCATATTTATGTATGTGTGTGTATATACACATATGCACACATGCCTACAAAAATATATATATTAAAGAATTTTTGTATATTGTATCTAGCAGAATAGAATAAAACCTGTTTTCAGTTTTACAGCAGCAGTTATTTCCTTCTCTTTACTTGTACAGCCAGCAGAGGGAGCCCCTTTGCAGCACAAGTAAAGTTGAGATTTTGGTGATGCTAACCTATACCAAATCAATATAAACACTGCTGTACTGATACGTGATGAGTGGGAAAAGTTGGAGTAAAATGAGACGCAGTTAAGGCCAATACAAAAACATACATTAGAAATGTAGATACTGGACTGTCTGAAGGCCACTTTAGATTTTAAAGTAACTGGTAGGGACTAGAAGTTGCTTTTATTTCATGACATAGCTTAGTGAGGAATTAATTTTAGATTCTTGATGAGGGTTAATACAGAACCTTTGACCACATCATCTGTGCTTATGCTTTTTAATTCTTGAGAAAAATGCAAAATTTCTTCTTGCTCTGTATTTGTTTAATGAAAGGAAATACAAATATGAAAAACATGCGGTCATTATTTCAGGATGTAAATTACTATTGGCGGTTTTTTTCTTACTTTTCTTGATGTTAATATTGATGTAAATACAAATTTCTATTTAAAATATTTTTGAATTGTCTCTTTTTTTTAAAAACAAATCTGTGTACATGAGTTGGAGTGCTGCTATCCAATGCTGTGAGACGTGGTTTTCTGTGGTTAGTAAAGATATTTTCCTTCTCAGAGCAGTGATGGAGAAACATCAGAAGCCATTTTTGTGAAGAGGTTAGTGTTGAAAGTTTAGCGGCTATCTTCTGTGTTTTGTATAGAAGTGCATAAAATAAGGGGAGGCTTGTGTTGGTTGATCTTTCATTTCTGGTAAGTTTGAGTTGCCAGTTATGAACTGGAGTTTTAAACTCTGTGGTTTCTTGGCTATGACAGGTTATTTTTGGTTTTACTCTTGTAGTTTGTCCAGTAATGCTGAACCTGCTCTGCAGTTATTGTAATATTTCAGATTCTATCCGAATGGCTATTGACTCTTTTGATATAACGTAGAGTCCTATTGTTGGAAATTGGTAATAAGCACACCGGAGACTGATTATAGAAATGGGATACCTAGGCATTCAACACTTTATTCACAAACTCATAAACTATCAAATGCTCACTGATAAGCCAAAGAAAACATGTATGCAAGATTTATATACAAGTCTTGGTCTGTTTATTTCCATTTAAACTCTTTTGTCAGATACAGTAGTCCCTTTTTAAAAGTGCTTACCAAAAGATCCAAGTTTTTTTTTGTCTTGAAAGAAAAAAGAAATCCAATTTTTGTGAGACCTTTGTAATTCACTTCAACAGGCTCTATAAAAGTACATGGAGCTGAGATAGGCAGTTCTTATCCCCAGAAATGTTTGTGCATTTGGCCAATATCCTGTCCTGTTTGTGGACCTACAAAATTCTCAAGGTAATACTGTTATTTCTTAAATATTTTTTGTTATGCAGAACACTGTTGAAGATGCCATCTTATCTCATTTGTGTATTATAAAATATATTCTGACATTTATATTAATTGCAAAACATACATTCATATACATACAGCAATTTAGTATATTTGCTTAAACTGTCATAGCACCAAAGTATAGCGAAGACAAAATTGCAGGAACAGCAATCTAACATTGTGACATTTGTTACATACACTTTTTTCTAAGAAATAGACATATGAAATCGACAAAAGCAATTACAGTATATTGTGCTTGGTAACTTAGATTATCCTTCAGAGAATGAAAGGCCAATACTGTACAAGCTGAATAAAACACTTCTAACAGTGATGAATCTCCATTAGGCCTCCAGTCATCCTTCTTCACATCATACTCTGAAGATTCTTTTAAGTCTGGCATCATTAGTCATTTCTGTTGAAATTGCTTAAGTCTAGTTGTGTCCCAGGGTTAAACTAAGCAATCAATATCAACATAATCCAAAAAATGAACAAGTTACTATCCTCTTGCTCTGTGCCACTGTGTTGTCTTAAGAACTCTATGTGCATTTACTGGAATACTATTGCTTCTTAAATAATGCCCCACATGCTGAGCTACAGTATGTGAATTCATCATAGTCCGTTACTTAGTGGAAAATCAAACACTTGTGAAAATTACTCCCACAAGAGTATTTAATACACTGGATAAAAATAATTTTAAAAAAGGCAAAGCAACATCCAAAACAAGTGGCATTGAAAAAGAAAACTTAATAAAACTGAATCTGTCTATGCTGATGCATCAGCTATGTAGGATGCTGCTGAAATCAGTACTGCAGTCACTGCATGCACTGTTAACTTGGAAATGCATTCAGACAGGAAGTGCAATCCTTGTGGTCTGCTTTTACAGGGCAGGTGACACGTCTTCCTTTTTTTAAAAGTAAATACCCCCTAAACTGAATGCCAGAATTAAAAATCTGTCAAATCCAAAGTGCCAAGAACACTACAGCTGAGAAAAAGAAATATATAGCCACAATCCAGAGATCTGAACAGGTATAAACATAATACAAAAGCTTCCCCTGTCACCAAAATTATATTAAAAGATTTTTTTTACTTTACGAATTGAAGCCTTGGTAACATTTGTTAGCCATGAACATGAATTACTTCTCAAATTTACTTAAGTCGCTAGAAGTCTAAGACCATCTTAAAAAGAGGATGAACATTATTATGAAAAGATTTTCATCCCTTGCCTATGCAATTTAGTCAGCTTGAAAACATGGGGTTGTATAAGGAGGGTGTAATTCCATCTTGGTATAGTTGCAAATTCCTTGATGAAACTGTTTCGCAAACAAAACTGTTGCTTCAGTCGGACAGTTCCTGCGTGTCCTCTCCTCTGAAGTGACTGCTGTTACAGGAAGTGTGAGTAGCACTCCTGGGAGTGGGGTTGTGGCTCTCCAATTCTTCTTCCTCCTCCTCCTCCTTGTGTGGAATCTGATTGCCATCCTCGCACAGCTTGTGGAGAAAAGCATGCGACTCTCCCTGACTTGAGCTGCTGCCCTCGTCTGGGGTGGAGGGAGGAGCGATGGTCTCTTCTCGGTCGAGCCCCAGAAGGTCCCACAAAGCCTCTGCAGCAGCCTCACGGAGGAGGAAGGCTGGGGTGGCGATGGTCAGGTAGAGAGTGGCGGTGGATTGGCTGGTACATGCCAGTGCTGGATCTCCTTCCTGCCCCAAGTAGGTCCCAGTGGGCTTGTGTCGGATGTGGCGTCCTGTGAAGTCATTGACGTTGTCCAGCAGTTCAAACATTCTATCTACAGCACACCCAAAATTGGTCCAATCTTCCAGGCTTACGTTAAAATTCAGTTCGAGATCGTAGGCGTGCTCGTCAAGTCTGTACAAGGTTTCAAGTTCTAACCAGTTGTTCTCTCTGGAGAAATTCACAGGGTGGGGTTCAAAGGGCTTAACCTTCCCATCCTTCCCAAATCTGTCCCCTGAAAAACAGCAAGTGGGTTATTACTTCACCAGTTCCCCTTTTATCATACTAGATGCTCACGCTTATCCAGGGTGACTTAAACGCTTGATACTGTTGTACATACACTACGAAAAATTACAATCACGCTCTGCCAACACTTTTTCAACAGAAACAGCTTAACTAATAGTAGCAGGGTATTAAGTCGTTTACTTTTTTTCACAGATTTAATTGAATATTGTGTTTTGTTAAAACAATCAGGTTGTTCAAAATGGATGTTAGTTGACTAAAAAATTTGAGATAAGGACACTTCACAGTGACTAAAATTAGAAGATGAGATATCAAAGTAGCAAAAAAAAGCCTCCCTCTGAGGATTAGGCTTTGTTAAATGTCTTCATGTTGAAGAGGTGTTGGGAAACGGGCAGTGCTGAGAGCTACAGAAACCATGGAGTCATGCATAGAAAAAAAACTGGTTATAAAATACTGTCGAGCGCTGCATGCAGAAAGAAAAATGTAAAAGATCCTGGTGGCACTGTGATGAGACAGAGTGATATCCTCCCAACTCACAGCGATTTGGAAGTGGGTTTCTTCATTTTTGGCCATTTTCGACGATGAAACTGCCTGATGTACAAGCAACAAAAAGACAAACCGTTAAGCTGCCCCCTCAAGCAAATAGAAGCTGCTGGTCACAGATCAAAAGTTCACACCCTCCTTTAAAGCTGGATAGCAAGTACTCATGCAAGACAAAGGGAAAAGGCACAATTCTTAATAAAGCAAAAAGATTAAGAAGAACTTAATAAAGATTGTAGTTTCAAGAGTCAGGGTTGTTTTTAAAATGAAACAAATGCTTTGGGGATATTTTTTTATCCCTATTTATTTTTCCAGGGGTTATTTGTGTTAGTAAATGCTACTTTTCTGTATTAAACTGAATTTGTTCGTCAACACTGGGGGAAGTAAAGATTTTACTTAGTGAGCAGATACCTGTATTCATCAAAGCTTCCTCCCTCTTTACCTCCTAAAGAAGAAACACTATGATTAGTTAACAGAAGAAAGTGACAAAGATGACACATTTACGCACTCAATTATGATGACTTCTGTGAAAGCCTCCTCCTGTATTGCTCCAACATTAAATATCTTAAAGAAGATAACAGACATATCCTAAGAGGAGAATTTTCTTAATGTTTTTCTCTTATGGATGCTGCACATTGGTGGTGGTGGAGGGGAGTCCCCATTGCCTGTAAAGCGCTTTGAGTGTCCAAAAAAGCGCTATATAAGTGTTAGCAATTATCATCATTATTCTTTTCTCCAATGTTTTACTATTCATGAGCTACGAAAAAATGACTTTTCTGATAAACAAGCTCAGTGTGCAAATGCCCCAATTGCTCTTTTTCAATCTTATTAAAGCTGAAAGACCCGATTCTTTTAAGGGGGGAGGAACAGATTTTCCACACCAACAAGAACATTTAGGTATAGATCACATGCAAGTTCCTGTGCAGGCGGGGATGGCTGAAATTCTGTGCAGCTTTCCTTTGTGGTCACGTGGTGGAATTGAGCTGGAAGAGCACTGGGGCCTCGCGCTGTTCTACCAGTTTGGGGCTTACCGATCTCCAGGTTGCGGGTGCGAGGGTTGCACTGCTTGTGCCCCTTGCAGCTGCGCAGCTCCATCAGTTGCACGTGCAGCTGGTTGAGGACGTGGCGGTCCAGCGTGTTCACTGCGTTCAGGAGCTGCAGGGAGATGGGGAGAAACGCTCAGGCCTGGAGTCTAAAGGCAGGCTGAGAATCAGCTGGAGAACGAAACAGGTGAGTCTTCACTTCCACAAGTGTTGGAGCACTCATTTTGTTATTACATTGCTGGTGGACACCCTATTCACAACCTCTATTAACTGGTTCCTCCAAAGAAACATTTATGAGCCGTTTTCTTGAAGGACTTGTAGAATATTTTATTAAACAAGTCTTTGCAATATAAGAAACCTTACCATTGCCATTTTAAGATGGCTATTAACAGTGACTATAAAAACTATGCATCACCATTTTTAACAACCTAGATAATTTTAATCAGAAAGAAACTGAGCTGTCCCTGTCCTTTTCCCCAAAGTCAATGCTGACAAATTCTATTCCAGACCTAGAATCTTCTATTAATGTGATACATTAAAAACAAGACTGAGCAATTTCTATTCACTGACCTTTCACAGTGGCTCAACCTCTGCCCCTGGGTTTTTTAGTGCAAACAGATGCAGGTCAGGGCCTGACAGTAAGAGTTTAGAAAGAGAGGGACTGGTTTTGGATGTGGCCCAGAGGCCTTAAAAGCACAAAAGGCATCTTAAGTATTGCAACTTCTTTTTTTTTTTTGCTGTGGTAGTAACTAAAAGTTATTACCCAGTGTCAATATATTAGAAAACGCTAGTGTTGCCTTCACTCAGTTAAGATTCCAAAAAGTGTCAGCATACATGCAGACCAGCCCATTCCAAGCACTTCTTTCATTGGAGCAGCTGTACAAACTCCAGTCATTGAGCACTGGTGGTAACAGTTGTATTTGAGATATCTACCTGGTATGGGTCTGTGTTGAGGTCAAAGTACTCCAAGAAGCCCGTGGCAAACTCGCAGAACAGGAAGTTATGAGTCTCATTGATGGTCCTCATGCACCAGTACGTGTTGTTGTTTGCACTTGTGCAAGCGCAGAAGGGACCCACTGAAAGAGAAAAAACATATGCCAACTTCTGAGTCACCCTTGATAAAATTGTATGTCGTAAAAAACCCTGCCTCGCATGAAACTGCCCACACGATCGCAATTTCATTTCATGTGCGGCTTGTGACTGAATTTCATTTGCCGAAATGTAAAGCTGACATGAAGCCACAGACCTGCAAAACAGTTAAGCCAGTTAAGCTTTGTTTCGGTTCGTTTTTAAATGGCCTCACTTGTCCAGAACGGAGCAGTCTGCCAGTGCTGGTTGTCGTGTGTGAAGCAGGTGAGGCCCGGCATGCTGCAGGTGTCATTGTTCCTCAGCCTCTTGAGCAGTTTGCGCAGTTTCTTCTTGCGTTTCTGCTCCTTCAGCAGCCACTGCTTCTTGTCCTTCTCCTGCATCACTTTTCTGGGGCGACAGAGATACAGCACTGAGCGCCAGGTCATGGTGGCGAGCTCCTCGAACAGGAAAGCACACGCACGCATCCCAAAACTGGGCATGAGTGCAAGGAGGGAACATAGGCAAAGTGGTATGTTTATAAGTGTTCATTTCAGCATACAGATAACTCAGAAAGGCAAAATGGATGAAGATGTCCTCATCGTGGATGGAGGTAACCATAAAGTCTGATTAAGCAATGACCAATAAAAGCATATAGTGTACCAGCCTCAGCTATCCCGGGATGCTCTATTGAAGAAATGAACTGTTTTGAAAATGGACACCAAAAGGATGGTTGATGAGGGATTTACAAAATCTTAAAGGGAATAAAAATATTGACCACCAGTGGTTTCTAAAACACCTGCTTGAGCAGCACGTAGGGAAATCAGTGCAATCCTTTAAACAAACACCTATTAATGCACAGAGCACATCAAATCTTTTTTGTGATTAGAGATGCCTGAACCTTTCTCTTTGGGAAGACTGGGCTGTCTAGTTTTCTTGTGCTCTTTCAAGGGACTCTTAACACAACACAGTCCTAGATACAAGTCCTTAACTTGCCTGCACTGTACTACGGTTAAAGTACATACTGAGAAGAAGTGGATTTGAGTATTTCCTGCTTCTAATCAACTGTGGTCCAATGCTAATGGAATTGGAATATTTAAAAAATGGTGGCTAATGAAAATATCAGGGCATTAGAAATATCTCATTGTCTTGTTGTTTACAAAAAAATCACTTTCCAACAAGACTGTTGCCTGAGGCAGGCTAGAAAAATTAAGTCCTAGGTGAGCATTTCATGTTCCTGTAAATAGAACTTTATTAGGATCACGGTGTGAGGTTACTTAGGAGCTTCTCCACTAAAGGAGTTGAGAGATAAATTTCTAATATGTATTCATATGTAATTTTATCAAATTTCAGAGTTTTGTGTTAAATAATGAAATTCAGCAGCAAAAGCAAATAGTAATAAGACTATAATAATAAGAGCTGAAATGAACATACCCCCAGGATAATATACTTTCAAAGGCTGAGATATTAGAATATTAAAATGGCTGAGAGGTATGAGATTCTTAGTTTTGGGCAAAACTTTAATAATAAGCCTCTGTTTATAAATGAGAGAATAAAGTTCTATTTAAAACAAGCAATAACAGCAGCTCAAGGTTATGTGTCAATCTAAAACATAGGTGCACATACTCAGTACATTCAAAGGAGTTTAAGAGAAAAATCTAGCCCTGTCACAGCCATAGCAGGTCACAACCTTTTACCTTATTCGTGTTTTACTATACAACATCTCTCTTGTATTATTTATATTCTCATTTCCAGTTGAATTATTGTTCAGGGGCATTTTGAATAGGTAAACGTTTCATTGCATTTTAAACTTTGTCCTTGAAAAGTGCACATTTCCTCAGTCTCAAAAGAAATTAGGTCTCTTGACATGGTTATAATGAGAGACAGAATGGTTCTCTCCTTACCGAAAAGGGTGAAGGCCACCTCCTTTATGCTTCAGTTTTCCCTTGTGCTTAGACTGGTAGCTAAATCATAAGAATGAACAAGATTTAGTTGAAATTTGTATTTCTGGTCATATGTCTGGCACAGAAATGTGAGCTTGTCTATTCAAGCTTGTCTATGAAGCCTGTGCACCATGGAATAATGAAATTAAATTACACACAAATGGTGACCATGGAGAATGATAGTACCACTGTAAAAAAGTCCATGATATAAATATGTGAAGGCAATGTGGTTCACACTTGAAAGAAGCTATTGAGCATCACCTGTCATTGTCTGTGGGAACGCCTTCCTTATTTGCATGGGTATCAAATTGTATTGTTCAGTGGTGCAGTGGTCATCATAGCAGTTGATTGAATAGGCCTAACTAACTTTTTATAAGGTCATAGAACCTTTGACAGAACATAGCATTTGTATGAGTATAATTAATAGAGAACATTTTATCATTTGTAACGTAACATTTTTGTATAATTCTTGAAATGAAAACTGTGAAAGTTACCAAAATGTTTTTTTTGTAAAATGTTCAAATACCGTGCAGAGAAATGCAAAGTCTCTAATATTCACAACCTCACTTTCTGCTCTTCTTTGGTGAGTGAAGTATTAGGAGACTGGAGTTTAACTGCCAAAAACAGGTTTTTATACAGGATATCTTAGATATGTGCAAACAATGTTTATTTTATCGTTCAAGAATCTATTAATATGGAGATTATATAAGACCTTGTACTGGTCCGCCATACCCTAATTTAAGTAATTTGAACCAGTGAGGATTTTTTTCAATTCCTCTTAGTTATGCCTAAAGGTATCCTGTCCCTGTGGCTCACTATTCCCTTGAGTCCCAGTGTGTGACCCACTCACCTGTACCGATTACAGTCACAATCCTCAGGACGGGCTCGCTTAAGGTGCCCTCTGACTTCCCTCAGGTTCTTTATTTTGGTTTGCAGAGTTTCAATCTATCGGAGACATTAGAACACACCCCCGGTCATGCCCCTTGTTTGTATAACAGCGCATACAGTGGCTAGAGCATGAACAAACAGCCATGGTGACAAAGGAAGAAGCCCAAGGTAAAAAGATCCAGATGGGAAATCTCTCTTGACCAGCTAAAGAACCATGAAAAATCTCAAATACATAAAAAGAGGCTTCAAACAAAAGTATATCTCCAGAGGAAGCAGATTGATCAATCCGCAGCAGTCCCTATGAGATATTCTGGAAATGGGAAGACCTGTAGAGAATGACTGTGATGATCTCTCCATGATTTTTGTCACTGTCAGTTAAGGAACACAGAAGGACACTGTGCAAGGGCCACTAGAGGCCAGCTTTGTGCTTTCAGCTGGGTTCCCTTTTTTCTTCCTTAAATACAGTATAATGAAATCATTAAGAAAAGTAGCACGAAAGGGACCCACCTCATGATCAATATGCAATTTGTGATCCTTCCACGCCTGGAGTGACTTGTATAGACCTACATCACATTTCACCGTGTCATTAGCCAGTATGGAGCACCTGTAGGGCACAAAAAAACGGCACAACTTCTTTCAATGCAATTCCGCAGGCAGACTGTTTTTCCACAGTTAGATGTGATGGATCGATTCTTCCTTTCAGGGATAAACAGACCTGTTGCATTTACATGTAATCGCACCAGGTGCTTCACGAACCTAGCTGCATACAAGCCAAAATTAAGTATTTTCTGTCTTGAGACTGATGTTCCGGTGAAGGTCATAGGATTCCTTAAGACACTCGATACATTTTGAAGTTTAATGCTGCCGTCCCACGGCATTATATTTTTATACTGAATATAAAAATGCTAGAGCTTTTATCCAAAGTGGTGCAGCTGACACAAGGTTGCCTCAGCTTGACTTACTGACCTGTGAGTGACCTTGATGGAGGAGGGCACCAACAGATTGTTGCTGACGCTGGGGCTGTTGGTGCCACCCATCCCGCTGAAGTCCTCTTCTTCATCTGGCGCCTCGTCCTCCAGAGTGTGGCGCCTGCTGGTGTTCCTGGGCGCCACAGGCTGGTAGCCGTCCTCCAGTTCCACAGTGAAGAGCTCGCCATTCAACTCCACCGCCACTGACCGTGACAAACGGTTACGGGTGTAGCTCTTGTTGGCTTTGAACTCTGGAGTCACAGGGGAAAATTGATTTAAAAAAAAATCTGTTCTGTGTTTTCAGCATCAATCTATAATACCAGTACTTCTACTTTAAACCGTAATGATTATCATTATAATCACTTTCTGCCTCTGGAATGGTTTTCTCTAGTCCTGTTTTATGTCCTAATCGGTTAATTAAAAAGTACCTGTAAAACTCCAGGTCTTGAGCGCTAAAGCAGCTCGTCTTTTATAACATTTTTAAATTGCTAATGCTTCTACTGCCTACAGGCTACCACTAGATGGAAGCAAAGCATATTTGTAAGCTTCTTTAAGAATGCTTAAATATAGCTTCAGCTAAATCTATGCTGATGTCATGCCCAATTACTTGACTCCGCTTATTAGATATTGCATGCTTCTGCAATAAGTAGCAAAGCTGTGCTTTTGCTATTTGCACAAATCCTATAGTATGTAACTTACTAGAGTTTTAAGATTGTTACCTTATGTATAACTTATGCACAAGCCTATTACAATAATACACAACTGAATTACTGATTTATTATAAAAGCAGTTTGTGGTTGGAAATCTGCCAATCATAAGAATTTACAGGCTGTGTAAGCTCAAATTGACATTGATTTTAAAAATCAATGATGAGGAGTCTGAAAACGTGGGAGGGACTCTAATAGGTGGAGGAAAGTGAATTAATGAAAAACATCTGGGCTGTAGAACTACTGTACCACACTACTGAGCAAAACACAGGAGCAATAATATGGCAAATGTGTTACAAGCCAGGTGAAGATAAACAATCAGCTCACTTACTCTTCTTGGTCAGAAGCTTCTTCTTCTTGAAGGGGCTGATTCTGTAGTCGGCAGAATCACAGTCACAACCTCCAGAGCTGCGGGCATAGAACTGGGACTTCATGCTGGCCAAGCCATGTTTCCGGGATACAGACTGCATTGCCATTCCTTTGCACTTATGCAGTCTGAGCTTGCCTGTGGGGTCTTCCACACACTGCCATTTCTGTTCAGAAACATAGGCCACAGCACCTTGAGCCCAGAACCCTCAGCACCACCGAGCTACAGTATTTCTCCTTTCCACCCATGTAATGCAATATAATTGAAAAGCATCTAAAAAGGTCCAGTGTGAACTTGGCATACTTTAGAAAACCTTCAAGCACGTAATGACAAAGGACACCATTTAAAAGAAAGAAATATTTCTGCAAAAGAATACTTTGGTTTTCTAGAGTTCTTTCTTTTCCTTCTAATATTGAACTCACTCATGTACCTAAAATGAGCAGTGATTAACCTTAAAAGATGGCTCTGTGGATACAGTACTTAATCAAAAGGAATATTCTTTTTTGTATAATGATTTATATAGCAAATCCTCTGAGTCACATTCTATGTTTTTTCAGCTCAATTGGGGAGATAATTGAACTCAATTAACATACAGGTACAAGCTCATTAGTGGGTGTTAAAATCATCGGTTCCTGAGAGATTGAGGTTTTCTCTCAAGAAGCTGATTTCCTGTTATAATTCAGTTTATTTCCTCCAGTTATGTTTTCTGACAGATTTGATATCTGTTCATGTTTTTATATCAACAAAAAATCATAATCTTAAACGCATAAAAAAAAACAGGTGAGCAACTAAACCCTTGGTTTTTTTTTTCTGCCTGGAGAACATGCAAATTCCAAGCAGATACCAACCCAGGAACTGAATCCAGTGCAGTGATGCAGGAATGCTAACCACAGCAGCACTGTGCCACCCACTTATAATAAGTCGATTTTAAGATAACTTGTACTACAGGTAGCATTGCTGCTGATGATGGAGATGGGGGAGGTGGGGGTAGATAATTTCCTTAGGTGTAATGACCCGAAAGTAGAAGATACTTCAAGTGATTGCAGGCTGCACAGACTTAGTTGTCAAAGACGGTGTAGCTTATGCCATCTCACTCCTGACACAGTGATGAATTACTGTGGTGGCTGAGGGACCCTCCTGTTAATGGAAACCCTTTCTAAACCTCATCTACTTCCTTAATATTTTCACAGTGGCTGATTCTTCCCACTTCATTACACTCTACCTGCAGTGCAAATGGGAAAAGATAGACAAGTGTATCGGGGAGTTTAATGTTCTTGCTGTCATCAAGGCAACGTCTGTGATCAATGACTTCTCAAATTGCACCGTCAGATTCACAGCAAGTTAAACTCATTTGCTGCGTGTGTTCATGCACTGCAGTAATTGTTCTGAGTAATTCAGGACAGTTAATTATAGCGACTTTTATTATTGTGGCCCTTCCATTTCATACAAGTATGTGATGCAAGTGCTGTGTTTTTTTCCTTTAGTAGCCAAATATTTAATTGATTACAGAAACAGAGTGCTGGAATGGGGAGCTGTGTCAGCATGCGACAGTGGTTAATTCCACGCTGAAAAGTGAAAGAGAAAAGTTCACATCTGGTGAATGCCCCAGCAGCCAAAAAGTTGTGTTCTTTCTTTAATTTTACTTTCCAGCACGGGGACTAACTGCTACATATTACAAACCAGAATGCTGTTCTGATAAATGGATCACAAATTGTAATAAGCACTATATGAAAGCCTCTGGTGGAAACGTGGCAGAACCTCAAATTACGATCACCACATATTCTTAAAGAGGATGGTGGATAAACCACCACCATCAATGTGCAGCCACCTGAATGATGCAAGGGAAGCCATAGTGCGCCAGAACACTCACCACACATCAGCCATTAGTGGGGAGGAGAATAGAGTGATGAAACCAATTCATAGATTGGGATTATTAGGAGGCAAGGGCAACTGGGAAATTTGTCCAGGACATTGGGGTTACACCCCTACTCTTTTCGAGAAACGCCCTGGGATTTTTAATGACCACAGAGAGTCAGGACCTCGGTTTTAAGTCTCATCCGAAGGACAGCACCTTTTTACAGTATATTGTCCCAGTCACTATACTGGGACATTAGGACCCACACAGACTGCAGGGTGAGTGCCCCCTGCTGGCCCCACTAACACCTTTTCCAGCAGCAACCTTAGTTTATCCCAAGAGTTCTCCCATCCAGGTGCTGACCAGGCTCACACCTGCTTAGCTTCACTGGGCTGACAGTTGTGAGTTGCAGGGTGATATGGCTGCTGGCATAATAGTAAATGCAACAACTTCATTGGAGGGTCAATACAAAATTGTGGTTTTCGTAAAAGAATGGAAAAGGCGGAAAGAATTTGGAAAAGCGTAAGATGACGCTGGCACAGCAGAGCTCAGGTGGAGACAGAAGTGTGCAGTGCTTTACCTGGCCCAGCTGCTCGCAGGGTGTCTGGTACTCTGCACGCTGGCAGAGGTCCTTCACACGCTGGTACTTTGGCAGGAAGTTCTCCTCTTGTGCAACTTCCTTCCCATCATTCCTCTTGTGCAGCAGCTTACTGTGGGAAACAAAAAGCACCATTGTAACCTGGAGGATATGCATGCTCTTAATTTAGTGTTTCCCTCATCACAAAGAAAAAAGCATATAGTAAGAACTTACAAGAACTATATTCTTGGGTGGATAGTAGCTGTGCATGCTTTATAAGCAAATAAAAAACTGATCTACAGATTGATATACAATTGACCACAATGTTTAAATGGAAAGTCATATTAAAATAAGATAAAAGTTTACTGAATTATATGTATAAATGCCACTGCATAGTTAAACTTCATGGGTATAAATATCAGATCAACACTATTTAGTTTATTATTAAAAATCGGTACTTGTCTATCAATTTACTTTATTATTAAGATAAGCTCCAAATTAATACCCCAGCTGCCTTAGAGAATCAGCAAAACAATATCCGTGTTTTAGAGAACCCTGGCCATTTGCTAAAGACTTACCCTCTTTCCACAAGGAAGGAATCTCTCCACACTTTTGCCTTCTTATTAAACTGAAATCTAAAAATGAATCAAGAGACAAGAAAAAATGAAATTAGGCACAACACACTAGTCAGTGCAAGAAAAACAAATTGCATACTTGACTGCCATATCTGCATGTGACAATTTATACTAATTTATACACAGAGCAGCAATTTCTAGGTTCAGTAGGAGGTTAAACCGACTAAAAAACTCAAATATTTTTCCATCTCTTATCAGAAATCCACTTATTCCAGGCAAGGATCACAGAAACTTGCAGCCTATTCCAGCAGCACAGGGCACAACTACACCTTGGACAAGACGGCTGCCAATCACAGGGCACACACACACAAAGGAACAATTTTTAAATAGCAGTTAACCAGCCACTATGTATTTGGTAAGTGCCCCAGGACCCAAGAGCTGTGAGGCAGCAGTGCAACGCATCAAAACAGACAGAAATATAGGTGCTTATTTAACTACAGTAATTAAACATACTTAGTAAAGTAGGAAATTCTCACCACTCTTATCTTCAATGGCACAGCTCTATGTAATAGGTCTGCTAATGGAGAATACTGTACTTTCCATTTCTTTTCATTACTAAACTTAATATTTCTCCATTAGTTTGTGATATAAAGTGAAAACAAATCTTTAATTACTTTGCAGTTGTTGTTTTTATCAAAGACCCTCTTCTTCTCTTCTACAGTTCCCTTACACTAGCAAACAGCAGAAGAAGAGCAGCTCTCTAAGAGCACTTTCTACTGCGGGGCTCAGTGCCTCCTGACCCACAGCACTCCTTTGAAGCCCTGTGCACCGAAATAGAAATAACGCGTATTGATCAGCCGTGCTATAGCAGCTTTTTTTCCTCTCTCTGCTGGGTTTGAGCCTGCAGCCAGTAGAAGATCTGAGAAAGCAAACCGCACGAAATAAGTATCCTTTCCAGGAACTGACACTCCCTGACACCAGCAGTCAATTTCAAGGTGAGGGAAGACCACTCGTGCCTGATTACATACAGGGCAAACCAGAGACAGGATCCAATCCACGAACTCTGTCTCTGCTCCCCTCTTTCTTTTCCCTCCAGCCCCAGGCAACGCAAACAATCCAGACAACCTCACAAGACCCTCCGACCATCAGCATTTCATATATTGATGTTGACACTTCTTAGAAAGACAGAGAGGAATTTTTTTAATAAAAGGCCGCTTTACATTTGAAACCCAGCTGAGCTGAATTAATGGGCTGCACTGAAACATGAGTCATGGCAATACCATTCTGCAGTCAGATCTTTAATTCCAGGAGCCCCTTATTTCTAGGCCTAGAAAAAAAATGTTTTATAGTCCTGCCATCTCTGTTTTTGACTGTTACGTTCACTGATCAGCAAATTTCTGTATCCTCGGCTTTCGTACTGTTTAGGGGCTATTCTGCAAGACACATACTCTCCTTCCTTAAATCTATGGTTGTCTATGGTTGACATTACTTAAATTACTTAAATCTTAATGCCGTCACAGGAAGAAATGAAGAGATTTCAAAGCTACATTAATTGCTTGTTGAATTTTACATATCGCTGCAGTACAGGGACACCTGATGTTACCAATTTATAAATCCCACAATAAGGCTTCTAGTACCTGTTCACTGGCCTTTCCGTGTCTAGGAGCTTGAGAATAGACTTGCCATCCATGTCAGGTGGAATGTCCAGACCAGCAATGTCCAGTATAGTGGGTGCCAGGTCGATGTTCAGAACAATGTGTGGATTACTGGGGAAATGTGGGGATGAAAATAGTTATTAAATACTTTCTAGATGGATTCTGGGAAAGTAAAAGTTCACCCTTTATTGAGACAACAAATGAAACAAAGAACTGTGTCGAGAATATAGTCACAGCAGCTCTGTCGGGCTGGAGCTTAAACCAAGAAAAAAACGCAGGAGGAAAGCTTTATTAAAAAAAAACAGTAGCCTCCATCTGCTGAGTGCTGTGAAGCACGGGTCTGAGATGCAGAAAGAGAGAGAGGGAGATGGAGAGACATTTTGTAATGGACTGACACTTCAAAGTGTTTCAGCTGACGGATGTCTTCCACAGAACTGTGCAAGCTCAAGGGTAAGTGCACTGAAGTACCTGTAGGAGCTGAATGAGGAAAGAGCAACAAGGTCAAAATGTAACATTATCACTGTGAGGTCACAGTATGGGGTCACCCTGCACATTGGCGGAGAGCTGAGCCCATCATTTTTCTACTTAATAACTCGGCTGTGTAATGCTTTTCTCGTACAGGAGTATGTCTTAAATGGACTGAAAATAAACAGTGCAGTAGTAATGCACTGCAGAGAGATTGAATGCTTCACGTGAACCCATGATTAAACAGGACTGGTGGGAATAGAGTTTTTTCCTTTTTGTGCAAGGCCCAATTTTCTCCATTTCTAAGGGGCTTGCAGTGCCATTACTGTTCTTTGACACAGGAAGTATCAATGGGATATGGCGAGGTAATCAGACGAAAGGGAGAAGAAAACAGGCTTACAAGATTTGCAGAGATTACTCTGGCCATTTGCCAAGACCCTGGGGACAATATGGCAGATTCATCAAGGAGGGGATAATATGGCCAGGACACCAATCACACCCACTGGCTAGGGACTGCACTCTCTACGCAGGGGAAAAACGGAGCAGCTCCCCGCTAATGAAATGCACCGAGGCAGCATCGTGACAACTGCAGCTTGAAGGGTGACTTTCACACAGAGAAGGGACCCGTTTAGCAGGAAAAAGCACCTTGTTTCTGCATGACAAAATACACCAGTGACATCTTGCACATCAACTTGCTCTTCCAGGCAACAAACATTTACTCATTGAGGAACCCACTATCTACATGGTGTTAAATAATCCAAATCTGGCTTGCCAGGTTCAAGATGCAGTATACTATACTGACTGGAATCTGACTTTTAACTCAGTGTTATTCCGTCATACACCAAGGAAAGAGAGCCAAATCAACTGGACTAGATGTCCACTTTTGGCCCCTGGAGTCAGAGTTTATGCATTCATTTCACTGTTAAATTTAATGTAAAAATCATTAAAAGCTCAAACGTAGCCAACTGCCAGAAATGAATAAGCATTGCACTTAGCAGAAATGCTGATGAGGATGTTCTTAGGTTAACTAAAAATAGACCTATAGAACTGCTACATACTCCACTAATCCAACTTGTAATGTAGGAAATCGCACAGGGTCGTGACATGCTGTACAATCTGTGTTTACAGGATTTCATAATTTCATAGCTGTTTCCACATGTCGGCCTAAATGCCTGATAAGCATACTGTACGTGCAGAGGTTCTCAAAGAGCGGGCTAGGACAATCTGAGAAAATGGCCGTGGTCAGGAACAGGGACCTATAATGAATAATGTTCCTACAAATTCAACTTTGTTGAAAATAGATAACTTTCATAGAGCGGTGTAACAGGAAAAGTTTAGCCCTTGCAATACGTCAGACTGGCTGAATAACAAATAACAGACTGGATAAAACAGAGTAAGCAGGAAACTTAGAAGCAGCATGTCCTGTTTCAACAACAGTCAAAGATTACTACAGAATCTTTAAGGTGTGTGTCCTTCCCTCAAGGAAATCGTCTAAAAATATACAGGAAATAAGATGAACTTACATTGTAGCTCCCTCCAAATTGGGTCCCCGTATGTAAAATGGCACCCGGATGTCAAACTCATATGGCATGGATTTGCCCTTGACCAGCCCGAACTGTCCGATGTGATACCCGTGGTCAGCGGTGTAAATGACGTAGGTGTTCTCTAGTTCACCTGTCTCGACCAGCATGTTGTAGACCTGTGGAAAAACAAAGGAGTTACCAACCTGGCACAGGGTTTAACAACACACAACTCATCTTTGTGTCCTGCTAAGTTCTGGGTCATGAAGACAGTTTCAGTTCTTCGCATGTATTTGCTCCCTTTAACAGGAGCAAAATAACCTTCTGTATACTTGGGAGCCCAAAACTGTGCTCACCTCCACTCAGCACGGGTAAGAAAGAGAGTTATTAAACCCAATGGCAATTCATCCTTGTTCTCACTGACGTGTGTTGGCTTTACCAAACCACCCATAACAAGCGGTAAGGCGTGTAGTTCTGCGTTTCAAACAAGGCACAGTGGGATGACAGCTTTATACAGTGTATTGTTGGTGCATTTCAACAGATGCAAGACCAGAAAAAAATATTTATAGAAGAAAATATTCCAAGTCCAATAAACAGAGAGCAAGTAGTATGATTATTTTAATAGAACGAATGCCGGAAATGGTAAAGAAATATAAATCCCTCTTTTTTGCTCTGTTTGCTGCATATGTTTAATCTTTCTAAAGCATGTCTTGCCAGCTAGAACTTAATTGAATTGGACCTTCACTCTCCAGAGTGAAGCCATACACTTCGTGAATCTTCCAGCCCGACTGGCAGCCTCTGTTGCCTCGATGCCAGCAGACGACAAAAAAACGCACACCGTGGGGAGGAGCACAGCCCAGGTAGGGAATCCGCTCAGCCGGAGCACAGGAAACCAGCGCTCACCCTCTCCACTGAATCGTCCACCGACAGCAGCGTCTGCAGCCTCTTCCTCTGGAGCATGTTGGTGAACTCCATGTGGATGGGCTTCATGGGGCCAGTGTACCTCATGATCCAGTGCTTGTCGGGGTTGGGGGCGTAGTTGTAGCTTGGCGTGCTGGCACAGCAATTACAAAACAAAAAAACAATTAAAAGCAACAATAAAAAAGCTTCTGGATGAGACTGGGAAACAAATGGAAATTCAAGAGCTGTTTGACCCTACATTTTTGTTGGCACGCTGTACTGGTACTATATTACAACCTTTGGTACCCAATTTAAAAAGGTAATAGACTTTTTTCCTGAAAAATGTCTAAAAAAGTCCCGCAAATACAGTATATAATGTATATGTTGGAGAAAGTCTTCATCATAATTTCATAGGATGTGGAGCAAATATGCATGTGATCTGAATACAATGATGTGTGAATAAACTCTGATTCACACCATTTAGATATAAAATTTACTGTCAACACAGAAAATATAACTTTAGGGACAACATTTTTTTCATTTGCACATCACTATTTGAGAGTGATATGTGTGTACCTTGACATTCAAAGCTTGTTTTTATAAAAACACTTGTATATATCTTTTCATAATTTACACTTCATGTCCAATGTTCTATCCATTCTACCTAACACTGAAAGACTCACAGCCCCTTGTGTAATGGATAGTTACATCATGATTCTGTTAATATAAAACCAGTGAGTTCATTACTGCATGTGAATAGCTTATTAACAGCAGAAAAGTAAACTCAGGATACACTGCACAAAATTAAATGACCTTATCTCCATCCTTTCCATCCTTCTGAGGTTTGTGAGTCCAATTTGTGAGTAAATCAACGATATATTTACTTTAATATGATTCACTGCTGCCAGAATGAATATAATGAAATACAATTAAGTCTCATCCCTCTACATGATGTGGGTACAAAAACAGCCATGCGCAGCAAAACAGTACCTGAATATTATCTAGAAGCCATTATTGTTCAGATACACTGTAAATATCCTTGAGTTTGGACTAAAAACTGAAATCTGAGTTGCCATGTAGTGTTGTAACAATCACTTGGGTAATATTTCAAAATGCTCCAGCCATTCACATGACATATGCTGCATGAATATGATAAGTGACTGTGAACCATGACATTAATTAGTTCACAATCCATTTACCCCCTTCTGTATTCCCTGCTCATCCAAATGAACCCTCCAGTCGCACATAACTGCAGGTGGCGGGATCACACAGTCAAAGAAGGTGCGTCTGAGTGAATTATTGCTGGCAAAAACTTCAAACCAAACAACATATTTTTTTTTGCAGTCCGGCCCTATTGCAAAATCAAACCGTAGATGATCAATAAACCACATAAAGCAGAGATGGAATGAAGAGAACCACTCAGAAAAAGGGGTGAAGACAGAGCATTAAATACAAGTCTACATTCCCATTTCAAGCAAGCAGGCCATTAACATTCAACCAAGCACAAAAAAACATCTGGCTGTGGCCTGTATTCATTTGTATTCATTCCCTGGAGGGATGTTCTCTGTAATATTAACTCAAATCCCTGATGGCTTCTTCTCAGGTGACAGAAGGCATAAATGACGCCCCTTCAATTGTAGTACTCCACAGCAGCCACAGGAGGCCACCGCATCTAAACCATTTTAATAGATCCGAAAGGCGATTAAGGATCAGTGAACTGTATTTATTGCTATTCTTCACTGCTTTAAAACCCTTTTTAACATGCTCCAAACTTTACCCCACCGGTAGGCATTAGCGCTCAAGAGAGCTTTCTTGGCAGAGCCCAAGTCCCCAGCAGTTAAATCTTGCCTCCTCCCTGCTGTCTTCTCTTTATTACCCGATGCATAATCCTTTCAGACTAAACAGATTCTTCCACAAGCTTCCAGCTGCTAAACATGGGGTAAGAGATCTTTAGTAAATGGAGAAAAGACTGATTGCCGATGAAATCGGTGATTGTCCCATGACCTGGACAATCATATTTTTTCTCAGAATCCGAAAGGTGAGGACACATACTGTAGTGCAGCAATCATAGCAGAGAGGGGGAAATGGAAGAGAAAAGCAGGGGTGAGAAGGGCAGAGCGATAAAAAGCGAAAAACAGAGCAAAGGAAGGCAGAGGAACTAAGAATGATTCTTTTCATCCCAGTTAAACAAAGAACAGAGAGGTGATCACTGTCGCCTGTTTTAGATGGCTAAAAAGGAAAATATATGACACCTTTAGAAAGGTAATAAACATAGTACTGCACTCATAAAGCAATTAAAAAAGAAAACACCAGCAGCACTAAAGAAACACATTAGAGCAAACTCAGAAGAGTCTTTAGATGAAGCATTTGTAATGCTAAATGTCTTTTCCAATTACTGAAAAACCCAAACAGCCTTTTCTTACTGCTTCATTCTCAAATGGTCGGCTTTCGTGGTGCCATTAGCTGGGAACATTGCATTACTAAAGCAATCAAAATGTGCTATACTTTTTCAAATGGGAATTAAAAGCATTATTTGTGGTATCCTTAGGAATCGCAGGACTAAAAATTAATTTCGCACGGTCCCAAGCCCAGTGTTTTGTTTTTGTCAATGCATGAACATTCTTAAAGTTTAATTTTAAATTAAACAGCTGGTCTGTAAAGCAACTCCCATAGGGTCAATGGTTTATTGCTTGCAAAGCTTTTGTACAAGCTCTTTCTAAAAGATGGTTTCAACTTACAGGATGTTCTACAGCACATCAAACAATGAACAAATATTGAGCTCATGGTAGACACAGAAAGAAAATGGAATAGATATTTTGTTAACACAGATCACTTAAAATTAGCAATACAGTATTAAAGTGATATGTCTGTTTTGTTTGCTGGAAGGCTATATACAGTAGGCGGTATGCCCATGTGCTTCACATCTCCCTCTTGTACGGCTGATGCCCTGTGTCTTACCGTTTCTCTTCATATGACTATTCAGAACTGGGAGAGGAGACAAGGACATGGAGAAGCACTGTAGCAAACGTGGTAAAACAAAATGTGTGGGGAAAATTTTACTGCGAGGACATACTGAGTTAGGGAGCAAAAAGATACAAGCTCTTAGAAGCTTTCAGTTATTGTAACACTCCATCTGATCCAGTGCGTTGGCAGACCTTGACAGAATTTAATGTCATGGAAATCTCTCCAACTCATTATTAATCTGAGCTAAAGGTACTGTATATGTCATTCATAACTGTATTTAAAACATACTGTACAAAGGAAGCACCCTACACTTGTTGTGAAGGAAAATGTACACTTATTTAGACTGCAACTGGTTATTGATATGAGCTAAAGGTAGTACTGTATATACAGCATTCATAATTATGTTAAAACTACACTGTACAAACATAGCACGTTAAACCTGATGTAAAGAAAAATGTATAATAATTTAGAGTGTTCTGAACTACAGCGCAGAATATCTACACTTACAGAATGCAAGTGTGATTCTTTATAGCCTATCAATTCCAATGCAGAAGACATACACAGAAAAGTAAAACAACACTTTTTTAAAAATTAATTAGCCTGACCTTTACAAGGCATTGAAAGAGGATTTTAGTACAAGAGCCTGTGCACTGGTTAAAATGTCATTACTAACATTTTTCTGGATAAGCTAAAATGCTGTTACGCCGCAGCAAGAACATTGGTCTCACCCGAGCCATTCCAGAATTAGATAAGAATGTTGTCCACATGGTTTGGAATGGTGCTGCCCAGTGAGAGATATTTTGCCTGGGGGCTTTCAAGACTGATCCCAGCTGGTGAGCAATTAGGAGTAGGCAGCAGTTAAAAGTCAGCTGACACTGGGAATGAAAGTTGTGACTTGCCCTTCCTTTGCCAAATGGCTCACGAACAGAGGGAGGGAATGAGAGGCTGTGAGACTGTGCATTAACATAGTGTTAAAGCCTGACTTAGAGCTCCTATTGAAGAAAAGAGGAATTCTGTCTGCAGCTGTGGGAAAAAAAAACGAGTTTTAGCAAAAAGAAAAGCTACCTCCTCCACTTGCCAGGAAAGCTTTCCATACAGCTAACCAATTTCTGCGGTATCACAAACTGCTGCTCTGCTGCATCTCGGCCAAAAGGAGTTCATGAATTTCTCACAGGGGTGAACTTGGGGTAAAAATAAGGCAGCACAGAGTTTTTTTTTCAGAACAGATGTCATGTTTTTTTTTTCTAAAGCACTCAGGTTATAAAAGCTGAATTATTATATCCATTGTGCCGTTAAAAGTACTACATCATCTGTGCAAATTACACCAATTCCACTGTTTACCACCGTTATGTGCTGTTTAAGTTCTGTAGCACTCTTTCCCTTTTTAACCCTCATGTCACTGCGAGGGACAAATCCTGCAGACCTCTCTGGGCAAGACTCAGGGCTGTTCTTCTCTCATAAGGAAATAGTTGTCATCCAGTAGACAACTAGCTTTCCTTTCCTGTGCAAAAGGGGGCAGATTCCTTAATTTGATTATTCTGATTTTCAAACAAAGGTTAAAGGACTTCTGATGTTGAAAATGTTCGCTGAAGAGAGTCAGGAGCACAGGAGTACAAAAGGAGTACAGAGGCTGCATGGAAGGCACTACAGAACGGGCTGCTTTTTCCCTTCATGAAGGTCTTTGCTCAAAGCCTTGTAGGGCATCATGCAGACTTCACTCGGACTGCTGGTTTGTTTAGAAAATGTCAAGTAACGCGTCGCCCCGACAACGGCATCTTTCAATGTGAGCTTAAGTCAGGCGATGTCGTGCCAAGGAAAGGTTTTCCTCCTTCCAGAAAAAGAGCAGTCATTTAAAAAAAAAAAAACATTTCGCCTCATTTAAAAAAAAAGGTTTCGAAACAAATATCTCCATATACTGTTCATCTAGTGCCGCTTTGAAGCGATCTGTGATCACTGTTCCAATACACTATTGAGGATATTATGAAGATCAGATTTTAAATAGCAACCTCAAAGGTCCAATTAACTAAAAAAGCATTGAATAAAAAGAACAGTTTTTGGGAGGGGAAAGTGTATGCAGACTTACATGTGCTGGGAGGCATTGGGGAAGGCGTTGGAGTACTGGGGAGCAGAGTCCTCTGGCCCATGGGGGGCAGCGTGACTTAGCACCATGAGCACAGGGCGGTGGGGGTACATCTTCTTGGACATGCGGAAGTAGCTGATACTGTCGTTAGTGATGAGGTCAGTCAGGTAATCCTGAAGAGCATAAAAAATAATAACCAAGTGCTTAGCATTTGCTACAGTAAAATAAAAAAAAACATTTCTAGTCACATCATTCTGTCAGCTTAAAAATCTTTTCTTGGTGTGTTTCATGATTAATTACTCCCACCAAAGCACCAACAGCACAAACAAGGAAGCCCAGATCTGTATTTGCCCTCTGCATTGATGAAAAATGCAGATTAAGCAAAGAAATCAAAATGTAAAATACTACTGTAACTACTAACAAATTAAAAAAAACTTTTTAAATATTCTTTTAATATCCCTCATGTGTTTGGCTGAGCTTTCTAGTTATTTTTTCGATTGTTTTATGTTATCATAACTACAAAATGGAGTTCAACATCTCTTCAACATCTTTGAATGAGACAAATCTTCCCAATAATAATTCCATTAAGGTAGGGAAATCAATCTTTCCATGACCATGTTGGAAACATTTACAAGCAATATTTTGCTTTGGAGACCCCTCTATCCACCAGAGGCATTTTTTCCACTGCCCAGGTCTTGCAACAGTTGGCAAACAGCATAAGAGTAAAAATTGGTGCCAGGTGTTGCTGATTTCTTCTGGCTCAGTGTGAAAATAAAACTCCAGGCTCTGAAATGGAGAGTGCAAAACGTTTTGTGGAGAGAAACAAAAAAAAAGAAAAAAACTCAAGGACCCTAAAAAGCCCGAGTTTTGGCTGGGTTTGACACAGCTGTGTCTCTGACCTGCAAGAGCACCCCCCATGTCGTCTGCTGGAGAATTAGGGTTTTCTGAATGGTTCCAAAGTGCTGCTTTAACACGCCAAGCCTCATTCAATATCAGCAGCTGGTGAATGAAATTGCTAATTTTAATTTGAAAAATGTGAATACCACACTAATGGAGTATTTTAAGGGCGAGATGGTGATGGTATCCAACATGTTCCTGGCTGTTGCAGGACTGGGTTCTGCTCCAATTAATTTCAATTAAAACATTTCAAGTAATGATTCTTACCCTTATTATAAATGTTCTGAATTGGGAATGCTAGCGCTGTAGATCTCTAGTGAGCAGGTTCCTCATGAAGGATGGTACAGTTAGCCTCCACTGCAACCTTATGATTTCTTTTCCTGAATAAGACTAATGTTCCATCCTAGCTGAGTCAGCCCCCCCTCCCCCAAAGCCCCAAACTCATTTTACCACACCTTGTGAGTCATTCAGGCAGAAAAGATTAAGTTGCACTGGCTGGGGAAAAACACCATGTTGCTTAGTTCCCACTGAATGCCATATATAAAGAACATTTGAGTGTACTGTATCCACAATTAAAAAAAATAAATGTTAGAGAACCACCCTAAAATTCACAGATGTGGAATAAAAGCGGAGACCAATAGTGTTGCTCTACATGTATTGAACATACAAAGTAATACGGCTTAAAAAAAATTCCAATCTCATTTACTTGAGATATACAAATATATATTTTCATATACAGTATGTGCATAAATGTGTAATGAGCTAAATAAAGAATATTTGTGGAGTGGATTCAATTAAAAAATAATTTAATCAAGAGAATGACACCATGATACCTTGGGGTATTGGAAGCCATGTTTTTCCCGGACGCCATTTCTGCTGAGGGTATAGTTGTAGAACCGGGAGTTCTTCACCAAACCCACCCACTCCTTCCAACCCGGTGGGACGTAGGACCCATTGTACTCATTGAGGTACTTCCCAAAAAAAGCTAAGAGCACAGACAGGAAACAAAATGTTTGTTTATCCCACAAAAAATAGTACTTCCTCTCCAGCAGAAACACTAGAATACACAGCATACGCAAGCACAGAAGTACAAATTACATCCAAGCATTCTTGTGCCAGCAGAAAATGTTAAACGTTCAAAAACAAGCTTTCAGGTGTTCAGGTCCTAAATTTTGAGTGAGCTTTTGTGCTAATATATGTTTTGAAACTCAACAAGTGGAGCCTGTTTCACTAGAGTGATTTTAGTCAAAAATATTTTGCGACTGGTACTTAACGAGGAACAGAAGCATGACATTTTTTTCGCTTGTACAGAAGAGGCTTCAAGTGTTGTTAGAAAGCTGTTTCCAAGATGTGTCTTGTGCTTCATTGCCTTTACAGATGTCGGAATATTACCCTGCATGTAACGCTTTGTTGTGATCAATGAAGAAAAACTCAAACAAGCCTGATAACTTGTCATTTCACTCTCAAGAGAACGGTTGGAACACGTAGCAAAAAAACAAAACAGAAACGTAGAGTTTTATTATTAATTTAACTTAAACAGCTGTTTAATAGACTGTCTATGGTAAGTATAAACATTAGATTTTTGTGCAAAGCCATTTTGCATCACATAGTTTTCACTCTAATGGAGAAATAATTTAGTTCTAGAAGATGCGATAATGAATAGTATAATGTTTTTTTATTATTATTTTTTTAAATTTCTGTAAGGAGCTCCAGTAGGACTTTTTTAGGAGAAAAAAAATCTGAGTAGAAAACCGAGATTCTTTTTATCAAAAAAAGAATGTAATGTCTGATGCTCCAGACAAATCACACAACAGACACAGGTCAGTGCAGAGGCCATGCTAAATTACTTTTAAATGACTGTGCTCTTTTCTGTTTTGTTCTGTATATTACTTAAATGGAGGAAGTGTGGGCTAATGGCTTGGGATTATGGTTTAGAGCTGGAGGACCGCAGTTCTTACAGAAATGAATCCAAACAAGCTTTTTGCTGTAACATTTAAGATACTGAACTATCACTGTTTACACTTACAGTTATCATTAAGAATTCATATCAGGTCCCACATGATTTATCTGGATTAGATTTTCTTTAAGTGTTTACCTCATAAAACAAGCTTAGAAGACTAGACTGTCAAAGCAATGGATATGAACAAAATTATTACTTAAATTACTTCTCAAATTACTTCCAACTACATATTTATAAGCATAAATGAATATTGAAGGCATTCTGTAAAAATATTTATTTTGGGGGAACATTCTAAAGTATTAATTAGCCATTAATTTTACAGTAAATGTGCAACTATATGTTTGTCTCTTAAAAGTTACAAGAAACATAGGAAAACATTTTTTTTCCTTGTTCTTCTGTGATTTGTAACAGCCCATTTAACATGCCTTTCATGAAAAGTTAAACCCATAGCTAATAAAATTAAAAATCCACTTGATTCAGGAAAGCAACCAGGATTATCTTTGCGCAAGGGTCAACGAAACACTTTACTTTCCTTCTGGATACCAAGCAAACTCTATAAAATACTGCAGACTGTGTTTAAAATCTGGAATTCACAGAGAAATGAGAAAGTAAATGGCCTCTGCAAACGATCGAAAACCTTCATAAAATCAATAGCCTTCGCCCTTTTCGTTTTCATTGACATCCGGCAGAATATCTTGGAAACAGTTCACAAAGACAAATATGCTTTCTATTTGTTTTTCTGCTTGGGGAGGGTAGAAGGTGTAAAACGATCTGGAAGCTTGCATTTTGTGCAGATATTCTCTTAAAAGTGTTACATTTAGATACTGTTTATGCAATTCTTACAGTAGGGTACTTTTTCTCTCTGTCTCTTTGGTACATTATATAACTTACAGCACAAAATCCAATTCTTGGCATTACCTTTTTACATACATTATGTACAACTACTATTCAAAAGACTGTCCCACTAATTGCTTAAGCAAGCAATTTAACTTCAGTGCACTGTTTAAGCTTAACAATTCTGTTATTGTTATTTAGAAATGCAATATTTTGCTTTTACATTCATTTCATGCAATTCCTTGTTCTTTGTCATTTCAGGGGAAAAGTTATGGGCAAGCATACATTTATTATATAGCAAAATACTTATTTTTATGACTTGAAGGCATTTGACTGAAATGAAAAACTGAAAACATTGTGTAAAGTTGGCACCTTTACTTGACATTTCTAACCATCTACTTTCTCCAAAGGCCAAAGACAACTGAACGCAAAAGCACCGATCTGGAAGTATTACTAGTTTGAGTAAATGCATATAAAATTAGTAAAAGAAGAGCGAAATAATGTTTCAATAAACTCTCGGGTTTGGGATTTAACTGTGATATAGAATATTATTTACAAAATGAAACCAGTTAACCTTCTGAATAAAAAATACTTTTTTTTCTTAAGGGAATTACTTCAGTACAGTATCGAATACTCCACTGAACACTTCTGAGGAACAAACCTTTTGGGGAACAATGAATTAAAGCAGATTCTGACAGTTCCAGAAAGTTAAACAAGAGAAAAAAGGCCTTTTGGAAATGCTCAAAAAAAGCATTTAGCACTTGCTGGTCCATTAAAATACAGGGATAACCTCAGATAGTATAAATACATTTCTCTTTGCTTCCATATCTATCTCTGCTGCGGAAACCACTGACTGTGAACACAGAACACAGGATATTACAGGATTCAAAAGCCCGGCACAATAAGGACTGTGCTGAGCCAGCGACTGTACACTGAAGCTCCCCCACCTCTGGGGTGTAGCACAGGAGTCAATTTCACACCGTTCAAAGTTTCAAATGCGCTCTACCAACAACACCCAATAACATTGTGTGCACATCTATTAACGCTCAATAATCACAGTTAAGGTCATTTGGGAATCAAAATCCTAAGACGTGAGCACTGCTTATTTAAGAAATAAATTACCGACTGCAGGACTTAATAGATGTGGAGCAGAAAAATGAAAGGAGGGATGTTTCAAACAGAAGGTGACTATCCTCAGTGCTAAACAACTAACAGAAACCAGAGTTACAGTATCTAAGACAGAAGGCCTGACATTAGCCAATTGTCAGAATTATCATTAACATCAGGTGTACAAAAAACTTCATATTCAGACCATACAGACATTTGATTTATTTTTGCCAACATAACACACAAGACAGCAGCAACGCCCTTTAACACCTCTTTTTGCTCTGGCTAGTCAAGCAACAGGTCACTGTGGCCTTTTCTCTTTCTTATCTCAAACATTGGGCCCTTCACGTTTTCTCTACCACCGAAATCACGACAGCGATCTCAAAATTCGGTCATCGTTGAGATTTGACTCCACTAAAATCAAATAAGAAGCTTTGCCTCTGATGGGCTTTACACGTTCTCCGCGGGTGTGGCGCAGCTATCAGGGCGCACCTGTGCGGTAGCCGGTGTTGTTGAGGTATACGGCGAAGGTGTGGGGCTCATGCTGGGCCTGCCAGGACGGCGAGGAGCAGTTCTCGTTGTTGGTGTAGGTGTTGTGGTTGTGGACGTACTTCCCCGTCAGCATGGAGGACCGTGACGGGCAGCACATGGGCGTGGTGACGAAGGCGTTGGAGAAGTGAATGCCGCCTTGTTCCATGATCCGCCGCGTCTTGTTCATGGCCTGCATGGAGCCTGGAGACACAGAGACACACTTTTGAGTGAAGAACATCCTTAGATTGAGTGGTTAAGGACTGGTGAGGGAAAAAAGATCAAGCACAATACATTTCACACATTTAATATCACTCTATTTTTCCAAAGCAAAGGGCTGCGCCAAATTAAAGGAAGATGGCACAGGTCACTCTTGTACTGAAGACCAGCTGTACCAAAGTACACTTAAAAACACAACTTGAAACTTTAGACTGGAACAGACGTTAAGATTCCACATTGCTAATATTAACCGAAATGGAGATCCATAAAGATAAGATGGATAGATAAGATCACTTTATTGGCCATATACAATTTCTTGTATTAGGAATTTGTCTTTTCGCATAACTTGCTCTCCATGAGAAACACAGACACACAGACAGGGAGAATAATAAAATAGGGCGCACCAGGTCAAGTGGTTAGTGATCTGGTATTTTATAAAAAGAAGATGAGTTTCTGTAGGATGCAAATGAATGTAGTCCAGCAATACAGTCTTGTAAGCTTCCTAAAAGCTCATTTTGCAAAGATCTATAAAAAGGTATGAACATGCATATTGTACCAATCTAAACATGCATTTCACGAAATACACCAAATTTCACCAAAAGCTTTCCACTTAGTTGAGGACAAGTTGCTGGAACTATCAACCATCCAACATGTTATGGAGAAAGCAATATGCAAAGTAAAACCTGTGAAAACAACATTTTCAGACCTCCATTGGACTAATGCACCATTTTAAGACAATTAAAAATGATATAAATAATTATATCATGAAAATCATTATGGTCTGTTTAATGCATTACAAAATATACAGTAACATTCTCTTCTGTCTGTAGCTCATACCTTTTCTACCTCCAGATTACTGTCATTTTGTGTCTTGATATTGGATTTTTTAACCCAGGTTATTCTCAATCTTTCAGTGCCTGAAAACTCAGGAAACTGTTTTTTTCCATTTCATCAGTGTAAACGCCTCCAGCCAGCTGGGGACAGTGCTGTTTAATATGCCATCCCGTACAGTTTCACAGAACAAAGACAAACTTAATAACAAGAGGGAGGAAGGCATTCTGAAATTTACTGCTGCAGATAGCGTGCTACACTTGACCTTTTCCAGTTTCCCTGCAGTGCATGTGTTGAAATCATGACAAAGGTCAAAAGTGTGCTTACTTTTAAAATAGATGTTCACAGCATGCTCAAGCCAATTAAACGTCCAAAATATGTTTTTTTACACATATGTCCATTTGAAATTCAATCTCCAGTAATCAGAATTTGTGTGGGTGTAAACAAGGCATGTTGAATATATTGCAGATTTTATCTCATACTATATGATAATTGTCTGAACTCACAGACATGGTGAGAAAAGTGCAGGATCATATACATATTTTGAAATCAAGGACCAGTCCTGACAGACCAAATTCTTCCAAACAAAGCACTTTAAAAGACATTTTGTGTTGAGATTTTATGTTATACACATTGCTTTTTACAGATATTGTTGAATATGGTACTGTATTATTCTGTCAATACTGTACCTCACTACCTATCTTACTGATCTTGCTTTGGTATTTTCTACAGATGGGAGCACATAAGTGATAATTGTAAAACTCCAGCATTGGAATGCCAGTTCACAGTAAAAATAATTGTAAGTGTCTATGCAACTATTATGTAGCTAGTAAAAATATTTTCAAGGATATTTATACATTAGCTTTACTGTGAGTATAAAATCAGCTCAAGTATTACAAAATCCTTCCTAAACAAACCGGAGATAAAGCTCAACAAAATCAGATTGAATATGTGATTACAATTACAGGGCACAATGCTGTCTCAAAAAAGGTCAGCCCAGATTAGAAATCAGAAAAACAAAACAAAAACGGCTCACAATTGCATAATTTCACCCTAAATGTGCTGCCAATTCCCAGCTATTTCTGTGACGCCCTTCCGCTGTCTGGTGGTTAAGGAAAACAGATGCTTGGCTATTAATTCATAGCCTTCAAGGGTTTATTCAGTGGTGATTGTTGAAGGACAAAATCCATCTGTCAAGTATGATAATGGTCCAACACTTCAGCACAATCAGTGCTCTACAATACAGGCACACACATGTAAAATTTCAAGCTTAAGCGCTGATGTGTGGTTTTAACAGAACATGCTTGGAGCACAGGTGGAATCTGAATACCTGAGAAAGGCTGATGATGGTTTTGGGAAATACATTTTGGTGGTTTTGGTGGTGGAGAAGCATGTTCTGATGTGTGATACATGAATATTTTAAAGACACAGAGACACACCAGATTCTGTGTCAGAGAAGGTTGTGCCTGCTAATGAGTTGAATACTGTCCAACGCCATTTTAAATTTTCTCAGTAACTGTAGCTGTTTTTTTAAGTGGCTATCCATGCCAGTTTTATAAAGAGAAAAATGTGTAAGAACAGCTGCAATATTCTTTGTCTGATTCAATATATGTATATTAACAGCAGCAATTTTATATGTTTAAGTTAATGTTCGTTTTTCTGGGGCAAGGTAATTTCTAAAAACTGTCAGCAACCACAAAAAGCAAACTCCTTTTCAGGGAAGCACAACCCTATTTCACATGTCATAAGCATGTCATTATTAACTGCTACTTTAAATGGAGGTTTAAATTAAAGATTCCATTTCCTCTGTGACTGTAATTGTCTCTTAACAGCTTGAAATCATTTGCTGCAACTAATGCCTGTAGAGATGTGCTATCTATATGATCTCTGTACTGTAGCTGTAAATAATCATTTTATGGATTTACTTAAGGCTCAGAAATTGCTGAAGATTTAACAAAAAACGCACATGGAAACAATTACACACTTATTAAAATAAATATGGTGTATTTATTTCATTATACAGTTGTTTGACATGCTACAGAATATTAATAGAGCTGTATTATTATTAACTTGATGCCATTATCTGTTAGTTACAGTATAAAATAATAACAGAATTGTAAAAAGATGCATTGTGCATTTATGCTTCGGTAATCTTTCATTTAGCAGAGTAGAATAACAAAAAGAGTAAAACATCGAATTATAGAATATATTATATTACATATATAATATATATTATGTATTATATTTTATATATATGATAAAATATAGATTTTACTAAAAGCCCTGCTTATGTCTTAGATAACCAGATAGTCCAAGGTTCACATTGCACAGTAAAGCAAGTCTTTAACACCATTAGTATGGCCAGAATCATGAATGGGGATTTTGCTCTCCTTTCTCCTAATCCACTTTGACAGAGAATAGACTATAAATGTTTCATTGGCAGATTGTTTTGTCCCCTTGCAGCTCTGCAGTTAGCCAAAGTCCTTCACCTTCTGATTAGAGCTGCTGAACCTTGTCATAGAGATATCATCACGGCTACAGTTACTGACTTTCAAGGAAAAGATATTCCCCAATAGTTCTAAATGGAAAAACACAATAGTATGTCTATTTTCAAAGTTATTTGAAGCATAACAAAAGTACGAATAAACAAATAGGCTCGGCACAACACAATACAAATATACATTGTTTTTTGCTTGTGATTTACAACAAATCTTTACAGGAAACTCTACTCATCCATTCTCTAACTGCTTCTTCCAATTCAGGGTTGCAGGGTAGCTGAACCATATCCCAGCAAGCAACATGCACAAGGCAGGCTTCACTCTGGAGGGGATACCAGATATCGCAAGGCACACACAGACTCAGCATGCATACACACACACTAGGGCCAACTTTCCCAGAAGCCAATTAATCTACCAGTATGTTTTTGGACTGTGGGAGGAAACTGACATAACCAAAGGAATTCTTTGGTGAATATGGGGTGAACATACAAACTCTGCGCAGACAGCACCCCAGGAATTGGGCGCAGGGTCCCAGAGCTGTGAGGCTGCAATGCTAACCACTGTGCCACTATCCCGCCCTTGACAGGAAATTATTTAGTTTAAGGCAATTTACAATCCTACAGTACCAGCAAAGTCCCTTCTGCGGGTTACAATTATGGTCACTTTATCAAGCATTTTTTGGGGGGTCTGGCAGCTCTTCTGGACTCACCCAGTTCGACGTCCTGGTCATCTGTAAAAATGAGGATGATGTTCGGCCGGATGTTGCGCCGGTCTCGTTGGAAACGGCCCTTCAGGCGTTGGTTGGACAGGAATATGGAGCCATCGCCCAGAGACAGAGAGCCTAGCGCGATGAGAAGCCCGATGGAGAGCCCGAGCAGTGCCATCTCTCCAGACTAACTCTCACTTTCAAGGCAGAAATTGCTCTTCCTTGCTCTTAGGTGTCCTGGAATACAGCAAACAACAATACGTTTAGTAAATCAACACCAAGAGTTGGTTTTCCATTTGATAGTGGGCTGTAGAAATAGTGTATACATTGAACCAAAATTAAGAAAAACGTATTGAACATAAATTGCTAATAAGAGTTTACAAATCATGTTTTTATGATATATTATTTTATTGTTATATCAGTATCTCTTAAGAATATTTCTACCTCTTATCACCCTTGTTTTTATGGACATTAATTGATGCTTCATTGAAAACTCTTTATTAATTTGAGCAACGTTTTTTATCAGAAAACCTGAGAACAGTCCATTAAGTCTGTGGATTCCCAACTCTCTGTTGGTGTCTTTTATTCTTTAGTCCCAATTGCCGTGTAAATATGAATTCAGTCTTTTATATAACTAGTTATTTGATGCGCTATAAAACAAGCATAATTAGCAAGGTAAAAAAAAACACACGGTTTGATTTGCAGTTGTCACGCAAATCATTCAGCCTTAAGAAAATCTCTTCCATTCCTTATTGTTTTGAAAAAAAGTTGCACTCGATTTTTTTAAACTTAATTGATCATTTTACATTTTTATTGATGAGTGGCAGAGCAATCACAGTATTTCTTTATGTTTCGGTAATCTTTAAGTCAAGCAGCCGGTCTATCAGGAATGCACCTGGAGAGGGGCTGGAGAAGACCTGAAACAAAAAGCATCTGCTCTGCTGTCCTATCACCTAGCAGTTGCCCAGCAACGTCTTGCAGAATCACCACGGATGGCTAATTTGCGTTCAAGCTATTTAAAATCTCAGCCTCGCATTTCACATCTGATGTTTACATTAATAAACCCCTTTAAGATCTTCTGGCCAAGGATGTGTTTTACTTCTCTCCATCATCCAAGAGCCTTTCTAGCCTCAGAGAGCACGACGGTGAGCAGCAGCCCTGGGTGAAGGTACAGTCTCCACATCGATTTCATTCCTGATTTCCTGATTCCTGATTTCATTCAGGTCCGGGCTGCGATTCTGATTAAACCACAGCGATGGTGTCTCAAGGTGTTCCACAAAAATATTTTTTCAAATGCCTGTGTATTAATAACAATACTTCTGCTACTAATAGCAATAATAATGAGTACTGTATTTAAACAATCTATCAATAAGAAATGTCTTTTTTACCCTGTGTGTACTGTCCTGTGAAAGACACTTGATACTACCGGTTAAAAAAACCCAATACCAATGGGAATGCTCATGAGAATTATTATTGAAATGAAATGTTATTTAACTTCACATTTGTCAGCAAAAGCGAGGTCTGCTCTGACACACGTTTGCTATCCTGGCTGAGCTTGGCAGGTGCACCCCTACAGGAACAATGTAAGAGAAAGGCTTCATATAAATGAGACATTTAGAGTCTACCAATCATTTATTATCCATTAATAATGCATTAGCCCAGTATCCTTCGTCTCACTCCTGCATGTAACAATATGCTCACAATAAAAATATGGGTAACTAGCAAGGTGCTAATGGAAGGAGATGGCTGTGCTTCACCCTAATGAGTTGCTTTAAGGGAAAGATACGAAGAGAGAAATGACAGACAAGTATATGTGGGAGTGAGTGCTGAAAGGATAGAAACTATGCCATTATATAAGATCACCGCTACAGCTTCTGAAGGCATAACAAAGATGGGTTTTGTTATGGACCTAAAGGAAAACAGATTTTACTAAAGCTTGTAACTGCTGCAAGATGCTTTTTAATTTTTTTTCTAGATGATACATACTTTAGTGTTGGAGTGGTGTCTACAATGTTACAGGAGAACACCCAGCTTTAGATTTTGGATCGACAGAATTTGAAGATGGACATGGAGATGAAAAAACATTTTTGTTTCTCATCCTCCAGGCTCAAGAGAACTGTCCTAGTTTCTTTTTTTTTGTTAGACGAAAGGGTATATGATCCAGAATGATGAAGGCCATTCTTCAAAAGCATCACACTTTTAAAAAAATGGTGATAAACTATCTCTGGATTTCATCTGCTGCAGCTTGAGAAACCTCTAATGCGTACCATTTTAAATCAGCCACCAGACTCATGAGAGCATTAAAGACTTGAAACTAATTGATACTTGGTTAAGCAAGCGTAAAAATCCATTTATTCATTCAGGTCAGGATGTAGTGTACATACTAACAAGGACCTGACTGAATGTGCTCATTCTAGGTGTGACTTTCAACAAAGTACTGTAGTTGAGTACCTGTACTTTGTACATTGAATTTCATAAAACTTCTAGTTCATATACCCCAGGATAGGCTATGGTACAGATTCATATTACAATTAAATCCATCAATTTTAGGCCTATAGACCTAGGGTTAGCTTTCTTATATTTAATTACTTAATACAATGGTCTTCAAGTATAAGTTCAACATTTATTTAATAATAATAAAAATAATAACAACAACAACAACAATAATAATAATAATAATAATAATAATAATAATAATAATAATAATAATAATAATAATAACGTGTACTGATCTGTGTATTTAAACAAAAACATCTTTTTTATACCTGATGCTATCACAGATCAAGAAAAGAGTTAATCTAGCCTAGTCCTTTCTCAGTCATCCATTCTGATTGGAGAGGCAGATAAGGCTATTGAAGTCTTATGGTCTTTATAGTTACACATCAAAGAGTCCCTGTTGAGCAACTGTGCTTCAGTATTGCGCTTCGCTGATCATAACCAATGCTAGTTTCTCCAGGGAGAATTTTACAGGCCTTTTGAAAATTACTTCAATTCATATTTGAAGAGACCACCTAAAATAAGATTTCACCACAGCATCAAGGGTTTAAATAAAATATACACTAGGTTTAAAAAATCCTTTATGTTTAATTTGGGATTTCTTCGTGGTGTCAGGAGACAGGGTGACAAATTAAACTTCCAGCTCACAGTATTTTTAGAACCATGATTTGAGTGTGAGCAGCCGAATAGGCAAAGAGGTAGGGGGTTTCAGTGCACATGAATCCCTGTGATTAGTCAGACTGGAAATCACCTCTCAGGTCATTAATTAATACAGTATGCCAGTTTTTCAAGTATGAATGCAGCAGTTTTAAAGGAGTCACTACAGGGTACTTATGATACTTAAATCAGAGCTGTTTCCACAGCTTTTTCGATCAAGGCTTCAAGTGCGCTTTTGGAATTCGCAAGCTATACCAAAAAAAGCTAAGCGCAATGACAGAGCCTTGTCACATGGATCACTGCAAAGTGTTAAAAGTCCCCGTCAAATTGAATGTCACCCAAACAAGCTGTCGTTTGCATCCTTAAACTATCATTCTCGCCCAAACAGAAAAATGTTGTTTTAAAGACCTGACAGTTAAATTTTGTTGATCTATCTTCCAGTAAGATGCTCCAGTGTTCATTGTTGTCACATTTTTTTTGGCAGATCTGAACAATAATCTCGGGAAAGAACATTCATACCATCTGACTGAGCAGCTCATTTTCAACAATGCAATAGTGTTAGGAAGAGTAAAGGAGTCAAATACCCATCACAGTAAAATCACAGGTCAACTGTAACACAGCAGTGTAAACTCTGGGCTCATATATCTCCACTGACTGCAAACCTGCAGGAAGGAATCAAATCACACAGGCACCTGATTTTACATACTGTACCCATTAATCTTGCTCGTACTCTGAAATGGCTACAAGGAAAAACAGCCCGAGAATCTGTAAGTTACTTCTGTTTGAGAGCACTGGACACTTTGTTTAGTTGAACAGTCTACTCTTCTGAATAGTAATATACATTCTATATATTTTATTTGGTGATGTGATATCATATACAAGCAAAACAAGTAATTTACAAATAAAGTACAAATAAAGTTAATATTTGAAATCACCTAACAGAAAATCGGCTTGTATAATTTACTTTTTGTGTGAATTATTTGTGTGCATATTTTGTAGGTATGTTTCATTACAATGCACACATTATCAGTGCTTGATTAAGAGTTCAACTGATAAAAAAAAAGGTTTGCATTTTTTTCCTAAGGGATAAAGAGGGAGCCTGTAAAAGCCTGTCTTTGCCCAGTTAGCCTACCCCTAGTCCGATCAATTATTTTCACCCTCTACTTTTGTGAAACAGTTGTTATTGTACAACAGGGTCTTAAGCAGGCAAAACTATCTGTTCTTTGTATATTTCTGCATAATCTACATAAAGGTACTGGAGAGAAGCAAGAGACCCTGCTGTGTCCATTTACAAAAGACTAGTGAGAGAAACAAAACAGAACAGAGTGAGCCTGTATAACACACAGTGAGCTTGTTACAGGCTTATTAAATGTTAAATGCTACTAATGCTAGTGTTTTGCATCTATTTAATGTGAAGCAGCCAATTACTGCAACCACCCCAGTCCATTTTCTCATTAAAACAAAAGAAATTCTAGGATTTTCACCGGCTCACATTCCCATTTCAGCCCCCTACATTACAAAATGAAAAAGATTACAGGTCTCGAAGTGATTCAGACTTGTTGTTATTATACAATACAGAAACTGACCCGTCCGGTCTGAAGTCAAGGTCTTCAGGTGTAAAACACATCTGTAATGTTTCACTTAGCAAGGGTGTCAGTGTGAAAATGGAAAAAAAATGACACTTGGATGAACTCCCCAACACAGAGCAAATAAAGTAACCAATGTAATAATACTCGTACCAATGTAAGGAGAGGGGGCAAAAAAGAAATGACATTCTTGTTAAAATGAGCACTGTGTTCCTGGCACTGCTTCGCATAAGTTGCAAATGAATTTAATTTAATTTGTAATGACACAAAATACCAAACATTTAATGAAAAAAAATCACCTTTTAAAAACAAATTCTCTTATTTTGCCTTGTTTTGCTTTTCTATTTCTATTCCCACAATGTAGGCAGTATTCAGTCATTTCATTTCAGAGAGACAGGAAAAACTCATAGTAAAACACCTCTGCTATCCTTTGACTTCGAACTCTTGGATTCTTGTTCGGCACTTTAAAGCTTGCAGAGATTTACATGTCAAATAAAA